TTTTAATTCCCTTTGTTCTTTTTTGATTTTCTTTTTGTGACAAATAAAGTTTTTCTTATCTTATCTAATTACCAATTCCCTACCATAAAATGGACCACAAACAAAATTGGTTAAAATTATCCTTCAAAACAAACAGATCCGTTAGTTTTTATTTTCAAGGCGTACCGTAAAAGCCCTGACCGCATTTTACGCAAGCGATAAAGAGTGCAGAGTTGATGCGGAAATTTAAAAGCTGTTAGTGGCGACACTAGGCGCTTAGACGAAATGGGCTGCCGCCCGCGCCCCTTACGTTTACGCCATGTTTTTGCAAACGAGGGCATCAGGCTTCCAGGCGATTTAACTTGTAACACATCATAAAAGTTACTCACGGTATATTAAGATTTATTTGGGCACAAAATAATGACTAAGCCTATATTTTGGAACATAATAAACTAAAGAATATATTGAAGCCCACAAATGTTTGAATTTCATTTAAACCAGACAATTAAGCCTTGAATTTGTTAATGAAATACGAGCCCTAAACCGCCCTCTAAATATTTCAGTGCTTGTATCTGACCTACATAGGATTATCGTGTCTTCTCTTACTTTTTCTTTACTTCGTCCAAGATAAACGTTTATGAAACATTCACCACACATTATACGCCGGCCCCATTCAATCAGTGCCCTCGCAATAAATAAATCGACGCTTTTCCTAGAGGGCAGTTTCACGTATTAGTTCCAACCACAGCACATTTACACTACAAAGCATCCGCCAGGCTATGACCATAAAAACAAGATAATCTCCTATTCATACACTCGCAGATTCCAATACTTTTTACTCGTAAATATTGGAATTTGGATTACCGTGTACGGAATGTAAATTATACGACTTCTATTGTTAATGAAACCCACGTTATTTACCGGTGTAAAGTTAGGTTAGGCTGTTCTTAAATTCGGTGGATTTGTTATTCTACTTTCTTATACACCGATTTCTTTCTCTTAGTATTCTCGTAAGAACCTAACTACGTTCCTTTATTTATAGTTGCCTTGTAATTTAGCCCGCTTAAAGAACAAAGGTAATGAAGTCATTAAATTAATTAATTATGTTAAATTCACTTATAATAAACAAAGCTGCGAGTTCAGCTAATAATGAGGAAGAACGTAGTCATAAAACGAAGATATAGGTAATCGGATTAGAAAAGCCAAAATTCTAAAACACCAACGAAGGTTGTAAAAAATAATACCTAATACAAAAAATGTTGAAAAAGTAAGCAGGTAATATACAGGGAGCCAAGTTATAAATCACTTTAACACTAAAGACCAGCCTATCTATCAAATTCCGCTTACGAGGCGAACCCGTATCACCTTTTTACGAAACATGAAAGCCTAGCCTTTTTTTTAATCAGTACATAGTGTTCAAGTGATGGATGGCTCAAGCTTGTATACGGTATACCCAACATAGTATGTGTTAGCTGTCGTTTTATATAACATCCTAGTTTAATGTCTTGCAAGGCGTGACACTAAGCTTGCTAACGCCTTAGATTGATTTGGAGCCTGACACAACAAGACACCCCACAACCACGTTAATATAGCGCGTAGTGATAATGTGTCCATTGGGTTGACATGAGGGCACGATGAGGGCAACCACAAGATGTTACATAATTAAGAGGCAACCGGGGTAATTGCACTTAAGACCATCCATCCCAAGGCAATGGAATCATTAATCATCGGTTAGCACCTAAATGGACACTCAGTAGAGTTGATGGTGGGGGAGATCGGTTACAGCAATGGGAGAGTTAAGGATTAAAGATAAATTAACATTTCAACATAAATTAGGGCTCTTAGTTGTAAGATATCATTCTTAATTATAACCACCAACTTGTTTAGTTTATGATTTACCTTGTGCAATGCTAATTTTGCAGGCTTATATGGGCAAAACATGAATTCGCGTGCCTCTATGTAAATAAAGTATGCCCAACACCTAAACTGTACGATGTACTTATTATTTTTATTTGAAAATACGAGTATGTATCTGTAATGTCTTTACCTATTTAAATATGTCTACCCGGCTAGTTCTGCTGACGTTGGGGCTTAATTGTTGAAAGGTAGTTTTATAATCTCGTTAGAAGTAAATGGTTACCTATATACCTAATCAAGATTACGAACATGACCGGAATAGGAAGCTAGCCAAATATCAGTAAACTGCGAAGCTTCCAATTTGGATTCACGATTAGTTAAGATTAGCATCTACGAGTACCTACCTATATTCTATGCCAGGATTTGTAGAAAGTGGAAAACGCGACTGTCCATATCAAGTAGATAGACTAGTATATTTTACCTTTAAACGTACTAAATTACATAGAGCAATTACTCAAATAAAATATTGTAGGTTACTTTTCAAAATGGTCATGTTAGCACGGAAATTGTTCATACACCCATTCAAAATCTAGGTTGTCGACGACTTGGACTTTATAATCTTAAATATCCAATAGATAGGCTGTTTTTTATCTGGGAATAGAGACAGTTCCCAAAGGGCTAAGATAGGCACCTTTCTTTTAGAACCCGAAATCTTAGCTAGCGAAACCGCAGTCATGTCGTGAAATAATGTAATTATTATTAAGGCTAATTATTACCATTAAGCATTCGTAATTGTTAATGTATTCGTAAATGTTAATTTAATTCGTAGATGTTAACTAGTATTAAATAAATGTAACTTTGCTACACCCTTACAGGGTCAATGTATGAATGCATGTATACCTGTATGTGCTGAATATGTTATTGCAAATGAATAAATAAATAAATAAATAAATAAATAAATAATAAATAGAACAGCTCGGCTTTACCTACCACTGTCTCTACAATTCCAAATTGACTTACAATTTATTGCCTCAAATAATCAAATAGCTAATAGTACCAAAGCCCTGCTTTAAATAAAAGAATCGAAAAGGGCATTATATTGTCTGCACGCCTCATTTACTATGGGAACCTAATAAAGTAGGTTTTCCATTGAAGATAAAAGAGAAAAACCAACCAGTTAGGGTCGTCCCCCGCTCGTTTAATAAAGTGAGTAGATACAAACTTACGTAATATATCGTACGGATACCCAATGAGGCCTTGTGGGGGAGTGATGTTTTCATTTCACACAGGATTAAATTACTAAATGAATGGGATAAGCCCGCTATTTGTCAGGAAGGACGCGAGATGTCGTTTTGCTCCACATTAAGTCCCTAACATCGTATTATTATTATTTATTATACAAAGTTTTAGCATTTATTTTTATGTTTATTACGTATAATGACTCTCCTTTGATATGAGTTTAAACCTAACCTACCTACATTAATCTCCTAGTAAATCCAGAGTATATAGGTGAAAGAAACTTTGCCAAGTAGGTTTGGCTGCCGCAATCAAATTCGGTATGAAAGAGAATGGTTTACGACCTTAGAGCGTAATAGATAGGGGTTAACCCCATTATCATATGCACTGACTGACCTAGTTCCGTTGTTTTACGATAATAGTTAAACGTTATGATGACCAGTCACTACGAATAGTTTTCAACAACGATAAAAGTTGGTTCGGGCCCGGCAATAAGACCCAACTGTAATATAATTTAATTCGTTCTAGTGACCATCCGCCCTATATTTTGTTCAAACGTAAATTAATATTATTAATAGACTGAAATTTTAATTTCCGCCGTAATATTTTCAGTTAGTTTAACAGTGAAATAAGATCAAAAGCTCAGCGATATTACCAAGTTTTCCTGTGAAACTGATTTGAATGAAAATAACGGAAATAATTTTATTACACCTTAGTATTACGGAGCGCGGCGACATAAATTTTACTGAATAGCGGGGTATTTACAGCTGGAAGTCTTTCAGGTAAATTCCGGCTAGAATGGGAAATCATTTTTTGCATATTTTCCCGGAAATTCCGCCTTTGAATGGCAAATATAGAAAACCGATTTAATACGGCTGATGAATATAGGATTTTTGATGTAATTTGATGCTATTCAAGTTTGTCAAAACGTAAAAGCGTAGGTATTATTTATTATCTATCATTATAAAATAATTATTTTCAAAGCAATTGTAAAAATACTTACGCCCGTATTCACAAACATTACTATGAGGTCTCACAGTGCGCGTGGACGCACAGGGTGACGCATGAACCAATCACAGAGCTCATTCAACGCTGTTCGTTCGATCAGGCCTATTCATCTCCGCGAGTTTACATCGAAAACAAAACACGCACGATGGCCCACCTACAGGATACTATTCGACAAGACCTCACATACGAGCGAACATTGACTCACGCACTCGTATTCTTGTGTATGATGGAAGAAAATAAAGAAAATGGTGTACCTACTGTGCAGTATTTAACTGCCTAAATAATAATAAAAACACAGAATGTACTTTTTTAAGTTGCCTCAAGACACTGAGAGGTAAATAAGTAGTTAATATTATTCATGATAATTCATGCTAAATCATGTATTTCCTCCGCCATTTTACGCAGTTTGGCACCTCACGTCACATCGTTTTACCGAAGTCAGCCCTATAGCTTCGGCGCAGTGCCGATCACTGACGTTTGTCAACAAAATGGTGCTTGACTCTTGAGACAGGCTAAATTACACCATATTGACATTGAGCATACATTTTTTAAATACTTTCGCGAAGTAAAACTTCTGTACGTAGTACTTATTATTATTCTGTGGTTCGATTTGCTGCTTTCGTTTGTGAATACGGGCGTTAGGCTGGATTGCACCATCTTACCATAACAAACGTCAAAAATCTGTCAATCTCCATACAAAGAGCACCGGTTCCGTCCGATATCGTTAAAGTTACGGTCAAAGATAGGTGGTGCAACTCAGCCTTAGAAACTACCAAAAATTAAAGGGGTAATAAAAACGAAAATTATTTATCTAAATAATATATTTCTGATATTACACTAAATATAATGAACTGGTGTATATTTATTTAGGTAAAAAACAAACAATAGTGTACACTAGTAACTATAAAACTATTTGTCTAGTTTAGAAATATCCAATTCCTTGCTGAGTTTCGTATATTTTGACTTCATCCTTCTTCATCCCCAATTCCGGCCTAGAACAAGAATTTATTGTTAAAATATGATCTTCTTCAAGCTTTTCTAAGGCATTATTATAAGCTACTACTACTATAGTATGACCGGTTAAATGAGACCTCGCCTGCGGAACGCGGGGGCACAGGGGCGGGACGAGAACGGGGACCGTGCGGGGTGCGGGCGGGGATGATATAAAAGAGATAAATTTCACTAGATAGTTCTCAAGATATGTGACGTCACAGTGAAGTGGTTAACGGTAAACAGGTGGTGATAAATTTTGTAAAATAAATTATTTTCTAATAAAGAAAATAAATTATTTTTAATAAAGAAAATAATTTATTTTATAATAAAGAAAATAATTTATTTTATAAAATTTTAATGAAACAATTCATGTCGTATTTCATGTAAAATTTATTGTGTGCAAGATGTATCCAAATTATTAATCAATCACTTATGTCCTTAACAATATCACTAGAACTTGATTCTTCACTTTCAAAGCAGCCATCATCCAAATTATCTGAATCATCGTGCACATTAATAATAAAATCAACAACGTCATCTAGATTTTTTTTTTTTTTTTTTGAAGGGACGCGCGCTGGTAGCTTGCGGAGCTTTTCCAGCTTCACCGGGCAGAGTGGCGAGTACAGAAGGTACTCTAGCCGTTTGGCGATCGTCGGTCGCAGACCGACGTTCGCGATCGGGCCGTATCGAGCGCATAAGGCGCTCGATCAGTGGCGAACCCAACTAGAGGGTTGCCCACCGCGGTGTTGGACCAAAGTCCAGCCTACGGCGGGCTCACTCTNTGGCCGTTAAGTAGGATCAAATACTTAGAGTATTTTGAGCGTAAGTACCTTTGTATCTACAATAAACATTTTGGTAAAATTTTAGTTTCTTCTTCTGTATTTATTATTTCGATTTCATATTTCAGTGAATCTATTTCGATGTGTTGGTCAAATAAGGACTAGTGAAATGCAGTATTTTCAATTCTCAAACCACAGAAAATTTAACTAGCTTTGCAGCTAAAAACCGCGTACAGATTTATTTAATCCCTGTTTCAAATGATGTAAGGTTCAAATTATGACTGCAAATACTCGGAATTTGAGATTTAGTAAACGCTCGCTTTTCCTATGGTAGTGGCAGTTTTGTTGAACAATTCATTAAAATAAATTCTGACCTCTTTTCTTTGATTGTGTAATCAAAAAAGAGTAACTCATTAACTTTCAGCATAGTTTATAGAAGTGTTAAAAAGCTAGTTATCCACGATACTTACCCAAAAAATAGAAAACAAAAATAGTTTTGAGCTTCATACAACATAAGGCATGTTGTCTACAGAACCTTTGCTTACCATAAGATATTAGTTACTAACAGTAGAATGTTCCTTAGATTAGCACCACACGACTAATAGCGTCCGACGCTCTATAGAAAACTAATTTGATATTAATTTTGTACATTCCAGAGCAATGAGACTTTGATATGAAGTGGTAACCTTATCACCATTTGTACTTTTTATGATGCAAATATTAGCCCAACTCTCTTTCTTTACTTCTATAACGCAATTCGTACATTTGGCCCATATGGATTACAAATAGTCCTCGTCGAGTTAATCTTTGATTATAGTAAAATATTTTTGGCCATATAATACGTAACATTGTTACTTAAGTTACAACTTTATGACGCATGAATTAAGCTTGTCTGTTGAAAGTTGTAACAAAGGAGAGTCGTGACATCGTCGATTTTTTGGAACTTATTATTGCTAGCGAGCTAGTAACAGTGTGCGTTTTTCAGTTCAAGTCTTGAGTATCAATTCTTATTGCTCGTGATTGTAGTTACATTATACAGATATGACAAAGATAGAGAGAGAAGACGCTAAGTTTTTCTACAGGAAATCGAAAGGTAGATAGAGCTTATCCTAGTTCTATACAATTTAGTTACACATAAATACATGCATTAAGAAAAATACATAATATCGATGGTGAGACTTAGTCGAATAGTTTGCTGTACACTTATTTCATAAATTAAATATAAAAATTAAAATAATATTCCTATTAATTACGAGAGAAATCTCTTAAATATCTTTAAGAAATAACTTAAACCATTTAGACATGAAGCAATTAAATATTAATTTATTAAAACAATTAACTAACTTAGTGGTTTCTAGTTCTAACACCAAACTTTAAAGTAAAATTGCATTTTGCTTTAGTTACAGTTTAACTTACTTATAGACGGTGAGCTTTTTTGTGATTTTGTGTAGTTTTAAGTTCATCCTCATGAATTTAAATTATTTATCGAGAAAGTCTTCTGTATGTAAGTACTAATTTGGAAACTTTTTAATTATGGCGCGCGTATGAATTTAAAAACTGACGTCAGAGGACCACCGTAAGTAAGTGTGGTTCAGACAGCGATAATTGCGAGGTTGCTGGTCAGTTCTCGGACATTTTACATCAAAACTTAGCCGCACGGTTACCGCCTCAGTGCATCGCCAATGAGAATCACCCGGAAAGTTGCAATAATCGCACTTGAAATACCTTGATCCCAAAAACATTCCTAGTTGCATCACTTTTGGATGCAGTAACATTGTTGCCGTCATATTCCAAACCCACACTTTACCCGAAGGTTTTTAGCCATAATTTCATGAGTTCCACGGATTTTCCAAATTTTTAGATAGTTCAAGCATCCCAAACTAAACATTAGTGATTGTGAGTCTCCTCGGACTTCTCGGTCTATTCAAGTTGCTCCCCGAGCCTCTGACATGGACCTGGACCGCCCCTGGCATATCCACCTGTGAATGTAGACTGGCAGCTCTGGAAGTCCGGGGTGAGGGTACGCAGACGCGAAGGTCTACTGCGCTGTGCAGGCTGGCGGCGCGAGAAGACCGGGGGGTCACGGAGTGGGACACGTCTAGGGGGCCCTCAAACCGTAACCGCACAGTTATCGCCTCAGTGAGAACTACCCAGTAAGCGCAGTTATCGCAAACTTTGCATTGCAAATTAACAAATTACTCTTAAATAAAGTAGCATGGTCGTTGCCACCATATTCCAACTCACACATAAAGAAGACTTTTAGCCGTAATTTCATGAATACCACGGATTTTACAGATTTTCTAAGACAGTTCAAGTAGCCCAAACTAAACATTAGTGATAGTGAGTCTCTTCGGACTTCTCGGTCTATTCAAGTTGCTCCCCGACCCTCTGACATGGACCTGGACCGCCCCTGGCATATCCACCTGTGAATGTAGACTGGCAGCTCTGGAAGTCCGGGGTGAGGGTACGCAGACGCGAAGGTCTACTGCGCTGTGCAGGCTGGCGGCGCGAGAAGACCGGGGGTCACGGAGTGGGTCACGTCTAGGGGGGTCCTTCAAACCGTAACCGCACAGTTATCGCCTCAGTGAGAACTACCCAGTAAGCGCAGTTATCGCAAACTTTGCATTGCAAATTAACAAATTACTCTTAAATAAAGTAGCATGGTCGTTGGCCGCCATATTCCAACTCACACATAAAGAAGACTTTTAACCATAATTTCATTAATACCACGGATTTTACAGATTTTAAAGATAATTGAAATAATCCAAACTAAACATTAGTGATAGTGAGTCTCCTCGGACTTCTCGGTCTATTCAAGTTGCTCCCCGACCCTCTGACATGGACCTGGACCGCTCCTGGCATATCCACCTGCGAATGTAGACTGGCAGCTCTGGAAGTCCGGGGTGAGGGTACGCAGACGCGAAGGTCTACTGCGTTGTGCAGGCTGGCGGCGCGAGAAGACCGGGGGGTCACGGAGTGGGACACATCTAGGGGGGGCCCTCAAACCGTAACCGCACAGCTTCGCCTCAGTGAGAACTATCCAGAATCCGGCAGTTATCGCAAACATTTCTAGTTGCATCAATTAACAAATTACCTTGGATGCAGTAGCATGGTCGTTGCCACCGTATTCCAACTCACACTTAAAGAAGACTTTTAGCCATAATTTCATTAATACCACGGATTTTACAGATTTTCAAAGATATTTCAAGTAGCCGAAACTAAACATTAGTGATAGTGAGTCTCCTCGGACTTCTCGGTCTATTCAAGTTGCTCCCCGACCCTCTGACATGGACCTGGACCGCCCCGGGCATATCCACCTGTGAATGTAGACTGGCAGCTCTGGAAGTCCGGGGCGAGGGTACACAGACGCGAAGGTCTACTGCGCTGTGCAGGCTGGCGGCTCGAGAAGACCGGGAGGTCACGGAGTGGGTCACGTCTAGGGGGGGCACTAGGGCTGGTAAGTCGGCGGCGGAGCGCGAGCGCCGCGGGGGACTTTCTGGAATGAGAGCCATGCTGCCTACGAAGACGGAGTTCTGGAAAAGACGACATGGTTTGCAACGATGGCCTGCATAATCTTTTTTTTATCCTAGGTGCAGTATTTTAATCAAATAAATTTTTGGTAATCATTTTTAATAGCTTCTAGCTTATTAGCTTTCTTTCTTTGAATGCTGTATTTACCTCCTCCTCTCTTATAAGGTAGCTAACAATGCATGTGAAATGATATTTTATGTAGTTGGTAAATCTTAATCAATAGTAAAATAATGTAAAACTGAAAAGTTTTTTTTACATTTTAGAAAAAGATGAGTATCAATGAGGAGCTGGAAAATGCTAGTTTGAACGGTAGGAATACTGTTCTCAAGATATAATCACCCCAGTCATGAATATAAGAAATATTACACAGAATAGCCCAAAATACCTGTCTAGGTCGATGAGCCGAGAGGTACCCACACGGCTGGTAGGAGGGAAAGGCCACGCCGCAGTCGTATGACACGCAGCCTCGCGCTAGTGACGGTCGGTGCTGCATAACAGAGCACAGATTAATATGATCAAAAAGATAAAAGTGTCGAAAATATTAAGGTGCCCACATGAAATAAGCAGTAATTTTTAATGAAAAAACGTACATTAAATTTTTACTTTTCTGTAACAGGAGTAGATTTAAAGACACACCACTAGGTTAAAAGACAATTTGTAATGTTACACTGTAATATAGATATGTAAAGATAGTGGACACACAGCACAGTGTCCATGTCTCACAGTGAGACATGTACCTAAAGATAGTGGAGTAAATTAAGCTTTCTTAAACATGAGACAGGTACTTTTAAACTTAGTTTGATGATATCAGCGAATGGTACTGCTTGCTATGTTTTAACTCACATGGGGCGGGACCACGACGGAGCTTTCTGCAAGCGCGCAACTTTGTCGATGCTGCTGCTGGAACTTCGGCTGGTACGGTTCTAGCATCCTGGGGAGTTCATCATTTCATTATCTACATTCAGGACTATAAGAAACTTTAGTGATAGGCATTTTGAAGCTTAGTGCTTTAAAAAATCTACACTAAACTTTGACTCATAGTCTCACATAAATAATTCGTCAAAGTAGGTACGTATAGTTAATGTCTTTGTAGCTCGTATGCTAAAAGCAGTTGCAAGTCTAGCATAAAATTGAGCCCTAACTTTTTTCAATTGAAAATAACCATGTTTAAAAGTCAATCTTCCGTTTTTGTACATTATAAAGCTATTCTTCTAGTAAAGTGAAATAGCAATACGGAGTGTATGGAGAACAATCTGTAATAGCTAAACTCTGTATGTGATTTATGAAGTTATATTCGTGGTGAAGGCTTCCAGGTTGAATGAATATACATATTATTCACAGAAAATTTTCATTAGAATATGTTTTCGTAATTTTTCACACACAATTTAGATGAAAGGCGTATAATGTTCTCAAAATACCCGGTTTAACAGGAGACTGATTCTAATTGGTTACAGCGTGGCGTCCTAATGAAACCAGTAGGGGCTTGAATAATTAGCGGTCTGCAATCCTGGGTACCCACGGCACTGAGGGAATACAATTAACTGGCGTGGTTATTATAGCGTGGGATGATTTAGGTAAATACTATTATCATAGTATTCGTATGCATGATATGGGTACCTGCTATGATCGAAAGTTTAAAGGGATTGGGGATCAGAGCCTAATAATTGGTTATGTCGACATCTATTACAGTCGCTTTGACAGTTTTAGTAGAGTCAACAAGCTAGTTATTAGATTAGACTATAAGATTATGCCTATTATAAGTGGGTTTAAAACTGTGTTAAATACCTACTCATGTGGTTAAATTCTACAATGTAAGTAAATCCTTTCTGATTCTATCTTCAAATTCCTTTTAATCTTGTATTGGACTGGGTGTTTTCTATGTATAGCAAGTATGTATTTACAAAAAAAAAGTATTTAAGTATGTTTATATCCGTTGTCTAGTACCCATAGTACAAACTTTGCTTAGTTTGGGACTAGAAGCGCAGTGTAAAATGTCTCAGGATATTTATTTATTTATTTAATCAACACTGGCTCTTCAAGATATTCCAAGTTATTTGTATTGCTAAGTAATAGATTAGTATCTTCTATCTTAAGATACTGAGCAAGAAGCACACAATATGCTTTCTATAAATACACAATCCGTATTTCATATTCAAAATAATTAAAATAAAAAAAATCGTAAACTTACTCCGTAGTGCTAGTGATGTACCGTGCTGAATTTCAAGATCAATCTAACTTTACTCGTATTGCCTATAAGTATCATTTACGCAAGTGGAGGGTGCCCCTAAGTAACCTAAAGGGTGCATGAAGAAAATCAAGGGACTACGTACAGCTTATAGACGCACCTGATCTTGCCCCAGCGGTTGAAGAACAGGGCTATGGCCGCCACCCACAGCAGGAGGACGAAGGCAACTATGAGGGCTTCCTCTGCCCTCACCACCACGCCGCTGCCATCTGATGGAAAAAAGATAAATAAAATTAAAAAATCTATACAACTTACTGTGCGTCCGGAGTGACAGCAAAAAGTCGCTCTCAGAAGCAGCTGGATGTGACAAGATGAAGATAAGGTAATCTTATATCTAAAGAAAAGCGTGCCTTTAATATTTCCCACTCTACGTAGCTTCAATAATATTAGAAAAGTATTGGGAATCAGGTAAGTAAGTTACCTACTATAATAAATCGTCGTTCCTAAATAAAGTTATCGTTTTCTGCTTCATTGAATGATGATGCTTTAACTCTTTCTGAAATTAGGCGTCTTTTTCTTAATAAACAATTTTTTATCTTTTTTTATATTTTCTGTACGTCTTTGAGTCTTTGATTGTAAAAAACGAAGTGTCAATATTATACTAATTTCATTTTAAAGGTCCATTCATATAGTATTTTGTAGAAAATCAAAAAGTTACAACGTCTGTTGCAACCTTTGGCATGCAGATTAAGCGACAAAGTTCGCAGTCGTATCGCAATCAAGACAGAACTACAGCTCTTTGAAACTTGACTGTTGTATGTGTTTCCAGAAAACTCATTTGAAGTTTTAACTGATACATACATTGGAACATGAATGTTTTTTTGTTTTGTTTTAGAAAGTATCATTTCACTTGTCTTTAATAATATATGCTTTGAGATAGATGCTCCCTTTTGTAAGCATAATTTTTAGTCACACCGAAACCTTTGAACGAATTTTAGTACATATAAAGATGTAATAGGATCTGGGGTAAAAAGAAAAGGCTAGTGCTCTACTTTTTGTTGTAAAACAGCATTTATCTTGCCAGGGATATGAAAATACATATTATTATTTACACTTTTGTGAGCTTTTTCTGGAAACTGTTCTTTAGATCTTACGTTTACGAACATTTTTATATTACACTAACACGACCACTTTCCTAGATTATATGAGAACTTGGCGCCATCCGATGGAACGGTAAGTTGTTAATTTTACCCTACAGTTATAGTTAAGCAGTAGAGAAATGGAAATAATAATTATCACGAAACCAAATACGAAAAAAGAGGGTATCCTATTCAAGATTTTTCGTAGAAACCATCTGATTGATGTTAGAAAACAGTAATATAAAGTTACGACGACATCGTAAAGGTAGCAGGGAAGCGCTGGACGCAGGCCGCTACCAATCGATCAACATGGAAAGCATTGGAGGAGGCCTATGTTCAGCAGTGGACGTCCTATGGCTGAAATGATGAATATAAAGTTAACTTACAAGTTTCTTAGCTACAGCTCTCCAGCTGAAATGTCATGGACACATCGAGGCCAGACGAGTGTAACGATGTCGAATATGATCGATACCAAACGACGCCTATTCATATCGATTTTAACAATACGATATTGAAACTATTCAATTGGATACTCGGTATGTCACTGCTTTAATAATGAACGTGATATTATGTAATGTAATAGGAGGTTATTTAGAAACGCCCTTGAGAGATACAGATACCTTCGTATCTTCAATTTGATATTGGTAATTTTAATATGTCTTGAACATGATTTATTTACTTTATAAATAAGAAGGTATTTATAAGGAAGAATATGCTTACTTTGCTTTCATCAGAAATTGAAATACTCGCATGATATTTGGCGACAATTTATTGTGAACCAGTAAAAGTTAGATTGATAAAGCATCTATTGAGTAACCTTAGGGACCAAAATTGGTTTAAATACAGAAATAACCTACATTTTACACACGAAAGAACTAAATTGTGATAGTTGCCAACGTTTTAAATTCAGTTTGCTAGGTTTCTTACCAAGCATGTAACTTGGCAAGCACCCTGTATAATTAACTCGGTTCCAAAGCAAACATTGCCAACGAATTACTGTTTTTGTGTCAAACTCTATTCAGAACAAGACTCTATTCAAAACAAGGCAAATATATTTATAATATATTTGAAACTGCTCTGCGTTGTATTTTGCTGGCATCTCTAATATAGCGTAACTAAATCTATGACAACTAGAACTAAACATACAAAAAGAAGACACGTTGCCGCGGACGGTGAGGGTGCCGGGTGCAGTCCCAGCACCACTTCGGCGGGTGGGCCTTATGACACACCAAAACCCTAGAGCAGGGTACTCACCTGCCATGTAGCACGTAACGTAGCATGTAACGTAGCCAACCTTCCAGCAGCTCGCAGCCGGCTCGTGCCTTTGTACTTACTTGATACAGTATCTGATACGTTACATGCCGTGTACGGTTAGATGAGTACCTTGCTTAGTAGCCAAAGCCTATCCTTATCCTATCCTTTCTATAAAAACAAACGAAACCTACTCTTATACACACCGATGTCAGCTAGCGACACATTCCCGCGGGCGGTAGAGAGTGGCGGGTGCAGTCGCAGCACCACTTTGATCGGCGGGCCTTATGAAATACCTATCCCTTATGATATCCTAGCAAGGAAAGCCGCAGGCCAAAGCTAGTGGAGCAATAAAAAACACAAACGAAGTGAAGCTATAAATACACAAACGAAACCTACTCTTATACACACCGATGTCAGCTAGCGACACGTTGCCGCGGGCGGTTGAGGGTGGCGGGTGCAGTCTCAGCACCACTTCGGCGGGCGGGCCGCCGGTCGCGCCACTCCATTCTGGGGACAAAGGGTTCGGTTCGAGAGTTAAGGGTTAAGTAAACGTGGGAATTTGAAATTAAGAGGTTGAGAAAGTTTTACGGATTTCGGATGTTAACTTATCCATAATGCGGTGAACTTAACAACAGTATTGTTAACAATTTCAATTTTCAATACTTAAGTAGTTTTGAGATTTTTATCATAGTCACATTATCTCGTTAAATGATTTATGTTACGGTCTAACTAAATGATATTTATGTAAGAAACTAAAGAAAATTGGCATACTTTTACTGAATACATAATTTCAATACTTGAAATTAAAAAATGAATGGGATGATTCTGACCACTCAAAGGCAATGCAAATGAAAAAAAATAAAGTTTCGCTTGAAAATTCTGAAGCATTTAAAAGTCAAGAAAGAAGATTTCATCAAAACTTCTGGGTTAAATTTATTTTACGGAAATGAAGGAAACTGTTGAAAACAATTTTAATGGGAGATAATATTACTTTGATATTAAAAACTGACGGTATTTTTTATCAGCGGATACCACCATGACCTCGAATACACAAATTCTTTCAAATACTAATATTATTGTCAGAAGATCGAGCAGTTTAACGAACCGGACTGTATATTTATTTATGCAGTCAAATTTAAAGTCTTGTCAGTTAAATTTAAAATACGAGGGCGGCACTGAAAATTTTGGGAATCAAGGAAGTGAAACAACATTACTATTTAAAAATGTATTTATTGCTTTTTAAAGTATTCTCCGCGAAATTTGACACATTTTTCCATACACGAAACCAATCATTGAAGCAACCATTGCATTCGGAAGTTTGGGTCTCCAAAATGGCCGTTTTGTAGGCTTCCACGGCCATTCTCAGATGAGCTAGTTTTTGCGTGTNTCCGCTACAATGCTCCCACTTTTCTACGGAATATTCAGCAAATAAATTTTCCAACATATTTTTTTCTGGTCCAAATTGGAGTCGATACTTTTTTCTGCTAGCTGTCTTTTTATATCACCTCAGACCAACTCAATTGGGTTCAGGTCTGGGTGGTAAGGAGGCAAACGCAACACTTCATAGCCCTTTGCTTTCAATAACTCATCAATTTTATATAATAATATGTCCTCTTGTAATGGCTTTTAATTAATTTGGATAAATCATCCTTTTTTAATTTATCATCAAAAGGCACCTCATGTCGTCGTAGCCAATCTTGCATTTCTGGCTTGGTAGAGGCCATAGTCGGCTTTTTTTCTACACTAACCGAATGATAAGCTGCATTATCCATTACTATTACTGAATTTGGTGGAATATTAGGCATCAGCTTTTCATTTAGCCATTTACTGAAATTCACGAAATTAATTGTATCGTGATAATCACCTGTTTTACATTTGGATTTAAATATCACAAGTGCTCCATCTACAAATCCAGTGTAGCCACCACAATGTATGATGATTTACCAATATGAGACAATACTCCGTGTTCATCCTTTGATTGCCAACATTTTGAAACGTTATGAGACGCATTGACATAAGTTTCATCAAGATATAAAATATGTCTTCCTTCTCTACGATACTTTTAACAGTATTTAGATATTTCCACCTCCATTTGACTGTTCAATAAGGAGTTTCCTTTCAGATCCGCATTTTTGAAATGTAAAACCTAGGTCAAGTAATAATAATCTTAAATATTCTCTGCCGCAGTATAATACATTATCTTCTCTAAGGGTAGCGTTCAAGGATTTCAGAGTTGGTATTTTTTTTTTAAATGTGTAATACTGAGTAACTTTTCTTCTTATCACGGCTTTTTTGAAATCATCTACTTCCACCCTTTTCCTGCGGCTTTGTTTCGATTTCTTCGGTGATTTAAATTTTTCGTTGTTTTTTTAATAATTTTCCTTGTTGTACAATTCTGGATACAGTCTTTTCCGATAGTCCAGTAACGTTTGCTACGGTTTTGTTTAATGGTATATCTTGTTGATATTCATCAGAATTTGGATCCAGTTTTTTTTTCTAAAATATTCATAAACGTTAAAAGCTATTTGCTTGCACTGACTATTAATTTTGTCCGAAAATCTTTCGATTCATCTTAAAAATGTAATCTCATGTATAGCCCTCACAAAGCGTCCGTAACAAATAACACAAGCGATCGCTAGCCGCATCGCCAGCGAAATGAATTTTGACAAGAATGCGCCTGCCGCCCGCACCCCGTACAGTCCCCGTTTTCGTCACGCCCCTGTGTCCCCGCGTTCCGCAGGCGAGGACTCATTTAACCGGCCTACCTATAAAGTAATTTTAAGTTACTGGGATTAATTAGCGACACGGTAAAACGAACGTGCTGTCCCAAATACGGAATCATATAATTTCCGAGCAATACGGCAATTTTAGTTACACACAGAGTTTTTCATTTTGTATAAATCATGTGTGAATGAATCGAACCTCGGTCTTTCGTTTTTAGAGTCCATGTCTCAAAACCACTGGTTCACAAAATCATCGAGAAAAGGATGTAAAAACTTACCCATTTAAAATAATAATGTGACAACATATACGCCGTTTTATTATGACATATTATACTAAAAATGTGTCACAATACATACTTTAGGTTATAAAACTATTGGCAGTTTATGAAGAGAGACTGGAATTTTATTTTCAAAAGCTGTATTTTCACAAACATTTGACATGTAAATTTTTAATAAATATGCGGTTTGTCATTTCATTTTATAAATTAACAACGGACCCGAAATGAATTTCGTAATCTATCTAGAGTTTTAAAATGGAAGAACGGTAATAAAATATTATGAAAAGATCTCTACTCACAGCGTCAACTGCACCGTTTGTTGTTGCACTGAAACAAAGCAAACAACTTCAGTATGTACGTGCACGTTTACGTAGCAAACAGACAACTATGCTTTATTGGAAACTTTTTTAATAACAACAGACTTTTTTCTAACACAGCGAACATTCTCATCCCCAACTAAAAAACGTAGTCTGCTCAAGTTGCTAAAGATTTATAATAACGAAAGAACTTTACGTTGAAGAATGAAGATATTTGTAAAGGGCAAAACTGAATTACATATGTACTTATACTGAAGTGGAGCGTCTATGCACAATTGCACATGCATTTTACAAAAATTTAAATTTTATTGTAGCGTGAAATATTATGAAGAAAGAAATAAAGAAGAAAAAATAACACAGATACCAACAACGCAAATATTAAGCTCCATACCACTCACTCAGTGAACTGTGTAAAGCCTGGTCCGTGAGCACGTAGAATTTTGTCCAATGACCCCTAGCTACCCATCACTATCGCTCGCGCGTATAATTATATTGCTGTCGCGACTGTGCGACTGGCACCCGCAGTGAGTGTGCGAGCGCGATAGCAACATAATTACGCGCGAGCAATAAGGATGGGTAGCTTGGGGTCATTGGACAAAATTCTACGTGCTCACGGACCAGACTATAGCTGTCGTTAGTTCTTACGTGATACGTTAGCTACTGGCTAACAGACGATCGAGAAAATCAAGAGGAAATAAAAAAACACAAAATCTAATAAACAGAAAATAAAATCTTACCCATTTGCGGTTGCTGCTGTATAATTCCCGACATATCGGAGAAGTAAAGCGAGTTATTCGCCGGTATGAATTCCTTGGTTTGCTCAATGTATGTCCCTTGCATTAGCTGCGTGACGGTGATCTCTTCTGTCCGCCAATTTCTGTTGGCGGTCGCTTGCATCTTCTGCGGATCCCATTTTTCCATATCTTCTGGAGTTTCTTGAACCTTTTGCAAGCGTTCTACTTGCTTATACGTCGGTTCGCCGCCTACGTAATCTCGCTTAGTGCGGTTGTGGTTTCTGATCTCATGTTTGCGGAGGTCCGATCTAAGATCACAAATAAATTGATTTAATTTAATTTAAGAATTTACAGAACGATTTAAACTAACTTACAATAAAATAATTCACGGGTAATAGCTACTCGTATAAGGGATCCCCCACACTGGCGCTTTTCGAGTGTCGTCATTTTGCAGCGCCTGCGCAGATTAAAATTTCTGCCAGATGTACAGAGCGCTGGCGCACGTCGTCTATTTGTTCCCGAACACGCGGGCGCTGGCAAGACGATGTGCGCTCGAAAGACGCTAGTTTGGAAAAGCCCTAAAGATCTTAACAGCAATAAAGCTAGTTCTCACTTGTAGCAGAAGTCTCTCCCGCAGTAGTTGCAGGTGTGCTTGATGTTCATGTGCATGGCCTCGTGGTGTTCTCGTAACACTGTGTTGGTGCGGAAAACTTTCTCGCACAGCGCGCACTGCAACAAACGGTATTATGAGACGTATTGGAAATTGCATTTGTATACCTACGGAGATTTTATTTTAAAAAGTTACAACAGACAAAGGTATACTCATTTTTGTTTATGGTGGCCGATAAATCGTTGCTCAATAGGTCGCGCAACGAGAGTTCAAGCGATCAATACAAGTTAAGATTAGTTTGTGTTTCTAATATGTAATTGCTCAATAATGAATAATAAATAAATAAATAAATAAATAAATAAATAAATAAATAAATAAATAATAGAAAAACAATATAGTGTATCTGTTGCATACACTATTGTTTTCCTTTTAAAATAAATAAAATACGCTCGCCACGCTGACGTCATCCGCAGTCTGACTGAAAAGCGCTTTCTGTCTATTTCGCCTCAACTAATATGTGATAGATAGAAGTGTTGTAATATATGATAGAAGTGTTTGTACAGACGCCGGGTCGTCAAGCTAAGAACTATAGCAGATTATACAGTTGTAATAGGGGTGATTTCGCAACAAACAGTCTGATGCGTTATCAACTATAGTCTGGTCTGTGAGCACGTAGAATTTTGTCCAATGACCCCAAGCTACCCATCCTTATCGCTTGCGCGTAATTATGTTGCTGTCGCGCTCGCACACTCACTGCGGGCGCCCGTCACACAGTTGCGACAGCAATATAATTACGCGCGAGCGATAAGGATGGGTAGCTTGGGGTCATTTGACAAAATTCTACATGCTCACAGACCAGGCTTTATACCTTAAACTGCTTCTCCTGGTGCGTAAGCTTGTGCTTGTTCCGGTTGGAGGGGTTGACGAAGGTGGCGGGGCACTGCGCGCACTTGTACGGCTTCTCGCCGGTGTGCGTGCGCATGTGCATCACCAGGTAGTACTTGTGCTTGCACTTGTACGGGCACAGGTCACAGAAGAAGTTGAACGTGTCCGTGTGCACCAGCCTGGAGGCAAATGATTCAGTTATAACACACATACATGCGTCACTCTCATCATTCATCATCATCATTTCAGCCATAGGACGTCCACTGCTGAATGGATGCTCCCCCAATGCTTTCCATGTTGATCGATCGGTAGCGGCTTGCGTCCAGCGCTTCCCTGCTACCTTTACGATGTCGTCGGTCCACCTTGTAGGTGGACGTCTGACGCTGCGTTTTCCGGTACGCGGCCTCCATTCCAGAACCTTGCTGCCCCATCGGCCGTCAGTTCTGCGTACTATGTGCCCTGCCGATTGCCACTTCAGCTTGCTAATCCGTCGGGCTATGTCAGCGATGCGATGTAAAAATAATATCAAGTAATCGTTGTGATATAAAATAGTGGCTAGTCACGTATGATACAAATCGCGTGAAATATTGATCGCATTAGGTCGCGTCGCTTCATGTCGCTTTACTAAGACAACGGCTACATAACCCGTTTAGTTCAGTGCCAATATTCACCTAAGGCCAATTCAATCCATTCAACAAGGTCACTGCAATTTATTTATACAAGCTGCTCACAGGTTTACAGAGATTCCATTGCTACTCACATGTGGTTCTTGAGCCGGGCGATGACGGGGAACTCCTTGCCGCAGGTGGGGCACTTGTGCTGCACGACCTGCTTGTGGATGTAGCGCATGTGCTGCGGGATGCTGACCACGAGCCGCCCGCATGCACTGCCGCTCGCGTCTATAAGCCACTCACATGTGGTTCTTGAGCCGGGCGATGACGGGGAACTCCTTGCCGCAGGTGGGGCACTTGTGCTGCACGACCTGCTTGTGGATGTAGCGCATGTGCTGCGGGATGCTGACCACGAGCCGCCCGCATGCACTGCCGCTCGCGTCTATAAGCCACTCACATGTGGTTCTTGAGCCGGGCGATGACGGGGAACTCCTTGCCGCAGGTGGGGCACTTGTGCTGCACGACCTGCTTGTGGATGTAGCGCATGTGCTGCGGGATGCTGACCACGAGCTGCCCGCAGATGTCGCAGGCGCGCCGCATGCACTGCCGCTCGCGTCTGTGTAGAGTTAGCTTCTCCTAAAAAGAAATAGATTTCTATTGCAATAGCAATATTGTAAAATAATCTAATTGAAATAAATTAAGAAGTATCCTATGCTACCTTACACTTGTTATCTTATCCAATCTGACCTTATATTAATTCAGTTGATTTTTACATTTAGTGACACAAAAAATATTAAAAATTTGGGCTGAGGCAAAATTGTAAGAAAATTAAGCAGATATAAATTTCCACAGCAATTTAACTACTTCCTAACTAGCAGAACTGTGCATATAAAATTTTTGGTGACCACTTATTTTTGATAGATCTAAGTTAGGACCATCTCAAACTACGCATTTCAAACAAACCATAAACCTGTTTTACCTTGTTTGGAAATGTCATGTCGCATGGAGAGCATTTGAACTGCTTTATTTTAGGCACTTTTCTTTGTTCTATTCTTTCTTGTTTTTTACGTAGTTTTTCTCTTTTTTCCTCAGCCCTTTGACGTTTCTCTTTCATCTGATTCAGTATCATATGGAAGTCATGTTTAGAATATGGATAAGAATGGAGAGCAGGATCACCTGAAAAATAAAATTATCTTAACAACATTCTTAAACCCTGAAATTTTCACATAAAAACAGTAGACAGATGTATACCCATAGGATTTAATATTCTCCTAAACTTTCTGTCTGATATTTCACAAGTTTCCTTAAAATTAATTGCTGCCCTTAACACTTCCAGACAATCATTGCAGATGTATTTCGGCAGTGAATCTTCAAGGTCAATCTGAAAAGAATAAATATAATTCAGGGAAAACTGTCATAATATGAAATCAGTAACTTTTTGTTGTAACTATGGATGCATCTATCAATTTTTCTTTGTTACTTACTGTCACATTAGTAATCCTTTCAATGCAAGTCATGATTTCAACACCATTTATTCTTTCAGTCAACGGCATGACACCATTCCTCCCACAGACTCTGCATATCAGTCCTCTTGCTAAGCCGCCACTTTTTTTACTGGAAAAAGATTAAATATTCATGATTTCAGTTGGAGTGTGTGTTGTGTGTTAAAAAGACAGACTGAATAATACCAAACAGGTTTATGCATTTAATTGAACTAGGTACTGGCAAATTACTGTATGCCTGCTAAATAATAGGTAGTTTTAATTTTTTTATATTTAACCAGTAATAACTGTGGGCCTTCGGTCAGCATTTTGGTTAGAGGGTAAGGTTAGTTGTTGCAGTAATAAGAAGTTACAGGATTAATAAGTTATTTCTTAGCTGCTGTTATTAATTTCATCGTCTTGTTATTTTACCTCTCGAAAGCAATTTTGTGCCAGTGGTCATTACTGGTAGACGCTTGTGCATCGGTTTCCATTGATACAGGCCAAAATTCTGTTTTCTGAAACTTGGACATCATAGCTTTTGTCACGTAAACTGCCATTTTTGTTTAAATAAAGTAAAAGGATAATAAACAAAACGTTAACAGCTTTTATCCTAGGATAGAACAACAATAAATTCCATTTTTTACACACAACACAACAAGAGCTAGCAACGCTGTCAAAAACTCTCTAATGTCAATGTCAACAAAAGTCAAAGCTGCTGTCATGAACTTTTTTTTTATTCAAAGAAATTCTTAAATATACATCCTGTAATCATAAATTTACTTGATCATTGTAAGTAAAAACATGATTTTGTGATATTACTGCGTTATGTTACATAATCCCTTTGCCTATTATTAGCGGCAAAAATTAAAAAATCTATACGTCAAAATTATCTTTGGTGTTTTTGGTATTTGTTGGATTTTTGTTTTTACTTTTTCAAAGCAAATTTATATTGTATGGACGAATAAAATAATTAGGGCTGTAAAAACACGCATTTATAATGACATCACTGTTATTAATCAAGTCCATGCTATTAGCAAATGCATTAAAAAAATCTCACAAAAAGAAGAAAAGGAAAGTCAAGAAATCGTAAGTTTTACGATATTGAAACAACCTTTGTGTACAAATTATATTGTTACGTTATAATGGAGACAGTAGCAGTCCTAGTCCACTACATAAGTGACTACAAAAGAGAACAACTATGCCAGTTTTGGTATTCTAGTATGAAGCCAATAGGCTTCAAATCTTCCCTTGTACCTACTCGTAAAAACTCCATTTCAGCTTTAGAATCATGTTAAACTTTTTTTTTTCAGACATTGTATCAAAAAAATTGTTAATCCATGCAGAATATGCAGTGAAGAGAGCGGAGAAATACCTATATTCAACAATATCATTCATCCAAACATTCCTGAAGATATTAAAAACATTTCAGGAATTGCAGTAAGTATTCTAGTTTTTATCACTCATTGTTATACATACATTTTAATACTGTAATAATTGATTGAACTTTACAGCCACTTTATCTTTTGTAAAAGTTACTAGGTATACTGTCTTAAATTCTTTGTTTATTTTATTTTTAATGCTGAAACTATTAAATTATACCTATTGTGGTTCCTTAATAAACTGTGGAAGTGGAGTCCTGTTATTTTGATAAAAAAAAGCATTTTTTTTTTTCAGTTATACAAAATGGAAAATTATTCAAATCATATGTGCCAAAGTTGTCTAGACTTGCTCAATGGCTGCATTATGTTCAGGGAACTGTGTCAGAGAAGTAACGCTAAAATCACAGAACTCTATGAAAAGAAAGGTAAAAATGTTTCTATAGAAATTCTATAAAGAAGTAACTAATATAATCTTTTACCTAAGTGCAGGTGAAAGTAACTAGAGAATAAGCTAATCAATTTTCATTCATATTAAAAATGTGACTGAAAAACAAGTATGTATAGTGTAACTCAGAATAGTTTTTAGTAAATATGGATAAGGATTTTTATCATTGACTGTCATGTGCAATATTTTATGAATATGATATGCCACTTTGTTTTGCACCTGTAATAAATAATTAACATAAGAACTTTTGCTACTACAGAATATGGTAGATATGAAAGAGACAAGACTATAAATGGTGACAGTGAAGACTCCTACCATGCCTCCACACCAACTTATTCTGAAGACAATTCAGAAGTATGGGGTTGTTCCACATGTAATAAAGAGTTTGATAATATGGTTAGTACTAACTATTCTTCATTTTATTTTTGTGACTGTGAACACAAGTAAAAATTGCAATTTGCAGTTTCAATCTGCCTTCATTCTAAAGATTTGTTCATGTACGTACAAATATAATAATTTGAGTATATTTCTTTACCAGGCTGAATATAACAAGCATGCATCCAAATGCTCTCTGCAAACTCAGTCACAAGTAGCAAAGCCATCAGGGGAGGTGACAAAAAAGAAGTTTCTATGTGACACCTGTGGAAAAACTGCCTGTTCTAATGCAAGTCTTTTGGTTCATATGTAAGTATCTTTACCAACTAATTTTAAAGCATAATAATAGAATGTCCCAGTAAATAAATTACTTCATTTTATTTTTTAAAGAATGACTATTATAACTTACTTTTTATGTGACATTTGTACAAGTGAGACTTATTATGCTAGTGCTGGGGCCTCTAAGATCAATCACGATCACCATGTGTCAATTAACTACAAATTTACCAACTATCACACCGCATCGCCGCGTCCATGAAATCATCACCACGTTGCTGGTGTGGGAAAATCAACACAGATGTGTATTGAAATTTTTTCTTTGTCATGTTTTTGCGGCGGTGAGTTACCGCCGGCGTTATACATTATTATGCCATCGTTACACGATTATGACACCCCATTCATTATCCATCTAACAACACATTGTATCTTTTGTTACATACTTACTTTTCTCATTACAGGGCCACTCACGAAAACGTGTTTCCCTTCAAATGCGAGGAATGCCCGTATCAAGGCCGTACGATGGACTTGCTGAAGGTTCACAAGAGGTCGCATATGGCCGATAAGCCGTTCAAGTGCACGCAGTGTCCCAAAGCGACGACGACTTCTAGCAACCTCGCGAAACACATGAGACACGTGCACAGCACTACGAGACCGTTTAAGGTGATATAAAATAGTTGCGTACCACCCGGTTGAGTTAAGTGCGCACCTGGCCGTGACGACACATCGACGCTCTGGTAGGCGGGGCCACGGTAATACTATCTATACAGTATTCCAACTCGGCCATATTTTTGAAATAAATGTCAACAGTCGCGCGGTACATCACAGTATGACAACATGCGATAGGGCTGCCCACCTACAGTACCCAGTTTGATTACATCTGCCTACTTAAAATTTCTATCTAGTTTTGTAATTGTATTTTTTATTTAGTTAGACAAACAAAATACTTTGTGAATGGAATAGGTTAAAATGTGTGTTGTTTTGTGATTAGTAAAAACTACATAGATCATTTTGAAACTAATTATCATAATGATCTGTTACTTTAATTTCGGGCGGGCGAAGTCGTGGGCAAAGAAAAGCTGGTTTAATACAATATAATTTTCATTTCAAATCAAACTGACTGAAAATGACAATTTGACTAGTTTTTGACCAATTTGACCGTAAATGACGGTCAGTCAAATTCAATCAGTTTTGTCATTTTTAACACTTGGCCATTGACGTCCATTCGGCACATTCGCGACACCCCCGACTTTTGCATACCGAGCGCATACCGAGATTTGAATTTCGAAAGAAAGTTCTCGTTTCGTCTGTTATATATGAAGTTACAATACTGTATGATATTATTACCGTAGCGGGGCGATTGCGGGGATGTATGCGGGTTAATGGGAGGGAGAGGAGAGTTGCATTCCAGCGAGTTAGCTCGATCGGTTTTTATGTTAGCTAATTCTTTATACAGAATGTGCAATAATCCCCTGTATATCACTGAAACAAGAATTTAAGATAATTACACTGAAATAGCGTAAATCGCTTTTCAAATAAATTAACTTCTTTACTTGATAATTTGGTATTATAATCGTCATAATCAAGCAAAACAAATAAAATGGTTGCTTTTATAAAAAAATTAGCATTTAATTACTTCAGTGCAAGTATGTACACAAATCCAAAACTTTGGACTTCAAGATCTATCCAGCTTGATGAATGTCTGTTTTTGTTTTCAGTGTACTTATTGCGAGAAGGCATTTTCATATCAACACGACATGAAGAGGCATATAAAAGATATTCATTTACGACAAGGCACAGTGGAGTGCGATGTTTGTTTTAAGAAGTTTAATACAAAGTAAGTTTCCAAATTGTTGGATATTAATCACATGAATTTCGAATCATTAAGATGGTTTTTATATTGCTAAATAAATTATTTCAGAAAAATATTACAAGGGCATCGATGGAAAATCCATAAAATCAAAGGCGAAAGACAAGGGCGGCTGCCATCGTACTTGCAGTGCCAAATAGAAGTTCATCCCAACGAGAACAACTTAAATGACTGTGAACAAATATACTCAAGTATGGAAACTGCTTAGCGAGTGATTAGTTAATACACAGATCAGATCAGAGTCGCACCAGGCCTGTTCATCTCCGCGAGTTTACATCGAAAACAAAACACGTACGATGGCCCACCTACAGGATACTATTCGACAAGGCCTCACATACGAGCGAACATTGACTCACGCACGCGTATTCTTGTGTATGATGGAAGAAAATAAAGAAAATGGTGTACCTAAATAATAATAAAAACACAGAATGTACTTTTTTAAGTTGCCTCAAGACACTGAGAGGTAAATAAGTAGTTAATATTATTCATGATAATTCATGCTAAATCATGTATTTCCTCCGCCATTTTCCGCAGTTTGGCACCTCACGTCACATCATTTTACCGAAGTCAGCCCTATAGCTTCGGCGCAGTGCCGATCACTGACGTTTGTCAACAAAATGGTGCTTGACTCTTGAGACAGGCTAAATTACACCATATTGTTAATGACATTGAGCATGCATTTTTTTAAATACCTTCGCGAAGTAAAACTTCTGTACGTAGTACTTATTATTATTCTGTGGTCGCACTCGCATTTCAGCGCGGTGTGCAGTTAGTTCGATCGGGTTGTGCAAGGTGCACTATAAGCGTAATGCTGTATGTATATTATATGCCGCCCCTAGGCATTAACAGTTCAAGGGTGAGGGGAATAAGTCGGCTTTAGTTTGGGCAGTTAAATGAGTGTGTAGTTTCTTTTAGGACAAAATCGACTCGATGCGCCCATTTTTTGTGGACATGTATTATTTCGCGGTTAGTTACGATTAGCACTTATGTGACTGATAAAAGTATAGGTAAAGTAACGGCAATAAATGTTTGAGCAGCTCAATTTATTGTTTTAAGGAACTTTGGTCTGTATGTTTTCTACTTGGTGACAGAACCTCATAACCTCCACAATGTAATGAGGCCTAATTTTATCTAATAGAACATGTTACACATTTATTTTATACAATTTATAAATTATACATATCATAATGTGAATGTGGGTGTTTACGTCATTTACATCATTTAATGTTATCATGAACTACATAATTTGTTGCACAGAATTATAAATTATAGGTCAAGATTAATCTGCAATTATTTTTTTATATTTAAATTGTCTGAATTTATCATCTTAATGTTATGGACTTTATGATAAAGTGTCATTATTGGAAATATTTTATTACAATTAATCATTATTTTAATGTTGCAAAATGGTATTATTTTTTATTATGAGCATATATCATAGATATAAGGTTAATAGCGCCCAGTTAAAACTAATGGACTTTTACTCAATAAAATAGATTGCATATTTATATCTGGGCATTATTTGTAAATTCACGTGAAAGTGTACAAGTGCTTTAAGTTATTTTTTAAACTTTTGTAATAGCTTAAAAAATGATATTAGAAATTATATTATTGCTGATTCACAGTTGTTTTGCTTTTGATCTTCCCCGCGATTGTTGCGGTCATGATTTGAAAATAAACGAAGACAGGTTTAACGTGACTGATACCTTTCATATTGGTGATGTGTATCCAACTGATGCCCATTACGATGTGTATGGGAATCTATTTTACGTGGAGTCTGGGCGAAACGACGAGGGATTCTTTTTTAACATCAACATTATCAGATTTAAGAGTAAATCATCACAGAAAATTAAAGGTAAGCATAACACGAATGGAATTTAATCTTGATATCTTTTTTTTCTTTTGTTTCATTTCTAGCCTTTTGCCCGTGGCTTCGTCCAACTGATATTAAAAAAATGAATTCAAGTTTTTCAGATTGTTATAGTTTAGTTACGGGTTAAAATCTCGCAGTTGCAAATTCGCAATGCATGTTTTTTGAAAATAGATAGTTACAAATAAATGAAATTTAATCACCCTATACACAAAAAATTTTTTTTTACCTTCAGGTTTACCAAAAGGGCTCAGCTACTCCATTGCCGTGGACAAGAAAAACACCAAAGTATACTTCGGAACTGGTAAAGGGATTTACACCTACAGTTACGAAACCCACAGCGCATCGCCCATCACCAGCAGTGCTGTAAAACTGGACATGATATTTGTTGATAAAGACAGCAACAAATACATAACCGAACATAATAATGGCCTCGAGGAATTATATCGTCTTGACGGAGACAAGAAAACTCGACTACGTACCCCTGAAACGTTAAATGAGCTTGCTATTGATGACAAGAACAACTTCTACTACATAGCACAAGAACGCCTCTGCGTATTGAAAGTTAATGAAACGAGACCAGACTGCATCAGCAGAGTGAATTATGACGGCATCGCACAAATATCTGTACATAATGACCATGTATTCGTTGCCAGTAAGAATCTTACTTATTTCAGCATCAATGAAAAAGATCTCCGTAATGCTGATAACCTTCCAGGACAAGTGACAGCAATAGCCTTTGATAATAAAGGAAATTTTGTGCTTGGAATCCAAGGGAAACTGTTAAAATACGAAAAAAATGATGAATGTAACATCAGGGAAGACAATGGAAATAAGCCATCTGAACAACTCAAGCGTCATCCTTTTTAACTAGAGGAATTAATGATCAAGATTATCTATTATTAAACAAATATTGGAACATCCTCTTTATTATTAAAAATAAGTTACAGTTTCTTAAAAGCCAAATTCAAATCACTACGCTAATAATGTGCCTAATACCTTAGTACATCTAAGTCTTAGATAACACTATATTTTTGGGGATCAATATTTTTCCAATTTTAGATAACCGGATTTTTAGTTATTAGTAAACAATTGAATTTAAAAACATTGAAATGTATATTTTTAATATTTATTTGATAAAGTTATTTTTAACAACTTTTAATGTTTTTCTAATCAAGAATATAACTTACAGTAACACCAAAAATTCTACTGTTACTTAAATCTTAAATACTAAAATATTTATCCAACTTTCGCACTTGCGGCTCCCAACCTTTTCTTTTCTGAAGCAAAAATACTATAATAAACTTTAGGGAAACTTTTTTTTGGAAATCAAATAAATTTTTAAATCAAGTCCATGTACATCTCTTCCGTACAATTTCGGTAATCATAAGGATTAAGGACTAATTACTCAAAGCCAATTATGATTCCGCGGCGATGTATCCCCCGCGAAATTGAAATCGTACGCGGATATTCTGCGTGGTGGTCCGCGCATTGGTTGGGATACACTCATTGGTCAACAATCAATACTAACAGAGCCCCGATTACGGTAATTTTTAACGTCAACAATCCAGACACGCTTCTCGATTCTGCGATACGATTGGTCGTTCAACAGCGTACGTCAGCTGTTTTGACCAATCGTATTGCAGAATCAGAAACGCGTCTGGATTGTAGACGTTAAAAGTTACCGTAATCGGGGCTCTGAGCCCATATTCTGAAGCAACACTCACTAATCACATTTAAATTTCATTCAAGCCTGCTTAGATCAATCGTCCAAACATGATTTCATTTCAGATAATTATGCGCTCACAAGTTTAAATCGAGTTTTCTCCGCGGAACTCGTACGATCGAAGATTTAGTTAAATTATTTACATAGATCGTATACACTTGGCCCTTAAAATTGAAATAGTAGATACATTTAACTATAGCACACGAATAAGTTAAAAAACACAAGTTTCAATCATTAAAAAAATATTATTATCCTATCAACTTAGTAGAGCCGTAACATCAATCATTTATTAGCCTTCACACACTAACGATTTGTTTGGCGATCTAGAGGCGAGGCGAGAATGTGACAAATCTGAAGTATGCAAAGGCTCTTAGATCCGTTAAATCATAGGTAATCAGATTCTTACCCGATTGCTACCAATCTACTTAATTAAAACACTTCATTTTAACACTAAACTCAATAAACAAATTAATTAAACTTAAGTGTCTGACAACAGGTATTTAGCAGGTAGAAGAGTGGAGCAACGTTTTTATGTTGTTTACGACACATCTCTTCTGGATGATAAATATTTTACATTAATGTTCTTATTTTTAACCAAAATTATTATACAGACGACACACAACCAAGCTAAACACTGTGGCATCTTATTTCAATGCAATAGATTCCCTTTTTCTACTAAAATGTATAGTTTGATGTGATATCAGACTATTTAGAACCGCCTAAGAAGCCACACTATTTAGCTTGATTAGCCATCATCCACACATATGATAGTAACGAATTACAATACTGATAAATGAACTATAAATCTTTATATTGAAAACACACTAAACATAGACTAAATAACTCACACTTATAATCCAGAATTGTTCTCGTATTTGCCTGCATTCACTTTTAAGTTTCAACCTTACATATCAGACATTTTCCACAAAAAATGTTTATAAATGTCAAGTAATAACACAAGTGCGACTATTCCTAAACGTATCTTTAGAATTACACACAAATACGATTAAATCTCAGTGGGGCAATATACTTTGAGAGATAATGGGGAATGTCATGGGCTGAGCCTGAGAGTTGGGCAAGGCCATCGGTTGGCTCGTGCTCGAAATAGTGATCTGCTGAGTGGAGGTCTGGTGGACGAGCTGCTGGGCCGAGGGCACCAGCTGCTGCTGCGCCGACTGCTGCGCCGCCGCCAGGTGCTGCGCCGACTGCTGCGCCGCCGCCAGGTGCTGCGCCGACTGCTGCGCCGCCGCCAGGTGCTGCGCGGACTGCCGCACCGCCAAGTGCTGCGCGCTCTGCTGAGCGGCCAAGTGCTGCGCCGACTGCTGAGCAGCCAAATGCTGAGCGGACTGTTGAACCGCCAAATGCTGGGCGGACTGCTGCGCCAAGTGTTGCACTGCACTCTGCTGGGCCGCGAACTGGGGCGCTTGATGTTGGGGCACTACTTGCGGCTGCAACGCCGATTGCTGGACCAGCTGCTGGACAGCCGTCTGCGGTCCGGTGCTCATGAGCTGTTGCGCCGGAGGGGCCAGCGTCAACTGAGCGGGCGTCACGGCCACCACTGTCTGTCCTCCTCCCATCAGGGTACCCGAATCGCTGACTTGCATCAGTTGTTGGGCTCCGGCACTGGTAACGATGAGTGCTCCTGAATTACCCATGAGTTGCTGAGTAGTGCTCACGGTTAATATTTGTGGGGCCGGTGTCAGTAGTTGAGCTCGGGATGCTGCAGGAGCCAATGCTATGTTTGGAGGAGCGGCTGCAGGGACCAGCGCAGGCAAGGCTCCAGCTAGGCTCACGACTGGGGTCACACTGACTGTTGCCAGGGACACAGGTGCTGAGGTTCCATGGCGGGATGTAATTACGTCGTTTCTCATTGAAGCAGTTTGTACAAGAAGAAATTCATTCATGGATGTGAGTTGAATATTCTTTTCTGACAAGTCAGCCATTTTTTTTAACAAGACTCTGATATTATCATGAAGTAGTTTTACTTTATGTTCTAAATTTTCACAGTTTGGGCATAAATTTGTTGCTGCTAAAACATGTTTTTCAATAGTCGGTTCATAACTTGATAGTCTCCTTATCTTAGCATCCGGTGGGCCATCTTCATCTCTTATGGGAGGCGGTGGTACATTATATGGTGGTGGAACAGATAATAAAGGCAATTTGTCACTACCAACAACATCTGGAGGGTGTACTAGTTTACACTCCAAATTAAAACATGTCCCACGTACGTATGCCTGGCACACTGGTATACTGCGAACGTCACGAGGGAAATCACCATTTTTGAAAAATTTTTCTTGTTGTTCCAAAGTGCAATGAATAAACTTGCAATTAATTCTAAAGCATCCCTTATTTTGAAAGTCGTGACAAAACCGGAACATGTCTTTCAGTAAAGTTGGAGGTGGTATATCATGAATAAATCGGCAAGCACTGTCGCGAATGCAATAGCCGCGAATGAAATCTTTGCAGAAGCTGAAGGGTGAGAGTGCCGACAGGTCACTATCGTCCGGCACATGCCCCTCCGTCATCATAGCCATCGTCCTGAATTTCTAATGGGTGACTAAAATGTTTACCCACCTCCTCGTATAGGCATTGCCAATATTATTGTAAATCAACTCAGTTCAAACAGCGAGATTGTCTAGGTATCAGCTCACCTTGGAATATTTAAGATTTCGCTTTGCATTTCCTAGTGAGTATTCATGTTAACACTAATGACAGAATTGTTTTAGTTGTTAAATCAATGTACCTACAATCAATCAATCACAGAGAATTAATTAATTGCGCAAACAAACAACAATTTTCGTGAATTGTTCGCACTTTTTCCACATTTTGACAGCATTTGACAATTTTGACATTTGAGAAACTTGACAGTCAATGAGCTGATACAGAATCTATGGAGTCAGTCGAATGTATTATTACGTGCTCTGTGGTCGAATGCATGCAGTGCCATTGCTTTAATCGCTCTTACACTATCTTTGATTTTAATCAATAAAAATCATTCACTCATTCGAGTGAGTTGGAGTCACAGATATGGATAGATGCAACATGTGTCAAAAATTGTATGAAGCCGAGCGTGCCACTTTTTAAACGTCATTAGTGTCATTTTAGCGAATTTTAGTGATTGCCGCAACGTAAAAGTAATCGTATCATCGTACTGCATTCGCAAAGTCATCGAATGATATCGTGTGACTCGATTCAAAAATTAATTAATTCCGATAAAACTGATATTTTGTTAAATTTATAGCTAGTCTGACTGTAGATTAAAATAATTTTGTAGCGGTAGACGTTATTCTGCCCCAACGGCCATCGTCTCTACGAGCTATGTGGGATGGATGGATGCGGGCAGCGCAGGACCGTTCATTGTGGAAAACCTTGGGGGAGGCCTTTGTCCAGCAGTGGACGTCATTTGGCTGAAAAGAAAGAAAGAAGAAAGACGTTATTCTACAATTCTACATTATTAATTTGCAAATAATATTTTTGTTGTGCCTAATGTTTATGAAAGTAATGATCGTTATTCCATTATGTTAAATAGTACTACTAGTAATTCATACTTAATTCCATACTTTTAAATATCCTAGTAAGTAAATGACCTAGTTTCATAAAATAAAGACTATTTTACTCAAGCTTTTTATTTTTAATAAATGTAAAAATGCGTAGTTTTTCCAATACGTTTTCTTTCATAAAGCTAAGTCAGGTACCTAGTTTTGAAGATATTTCTAAACGACAAAATCTCGGGTGTCGTATACATAGACTAGTAATAGTGTATTCTATGGGCGACGGTAATCACTTACCATCAGGTGATCCGTCTGCTCGTTTGCCTCCTACCACATAAAAAAAAAAATACTGTGATCACTGACCTAACTTCTTGATTTGTATATTTCGACGTTATACAGTGCACTCTGTCTTCCGCGATCACTGATCTAACTTGTTTTATAATTCTTCTACTGCTACTTTATTCTAATTAATTACATATTTGTTACTCGTTGCTGTTAATTACAATTCTCAATCCGTAAATAATTTCTTCTCTCTACCGTGTTCGTACTACTGTCCTCGTAAAATCATCGTATCCGATTGTTGTAATCGGATTACATGAACATCACTCGACCATGTATGTCCATTTGGACATATCGGAATGGCACGCTTTGACTAGCAACTTGCTGTATCTACTTTAATCCATATCTGTGGTTGGAGTGAGTGATTCATAGAGTGAGTGATAAACCAAATCTGACGTGAAAAAAATGAGAAAAAAAAGTTGCGTGTGCGTCCATTTTTATTCAGCGTGAATTTATTTACAAAATGAATTAATTTATTGTAAAATACAGAAGATTCAGTTAAAATCTGGTCCGGTGGCCATACTTCAACTTTACCCATTTAAAATGAGGTACTATACTGAACTAAATGTGACATAGAGTGAAATCTTTCTCAAAAGACTATTTTTCTTTAAAGTAGATGTTTTTCAGGTAACATTGTCCTCATATAAGTGAGAAGATGTTTAAACAACAACTGTCGCCTCGCAGCGTGCACCCGTACCAGACTACCATGATACCACGGAGTGAAATGCAGTTCATGACTGCTGCACAACAAAGGGCGAAGTATCCGTGGGCCGAAGAAAATAACACTGTTTATCAAGTCCCAGGAACAGATAGCTCAACTTCTGATAATGCTTATCATGTGAGACTACTAAACTATGTATAAACAATTACAAATTGTCAAAATAATCTTAAATTACCTATCACTGTTATTGTTGCAGGTACCTCATTATTACAATACCTCAGTGAGAGATTATGGGCCACCTTCACCTGTTTACCAAGCTCCTTACACCACAGGAACATGGCATAGTTATAAGAAGAAAGATAAAATTAATCAGCGGCCTCCAACTGAAGCATACTCATTCCCTCCTTGTGCCTCGGCCTTTTCACTTCCGCTGTGCGAAGTTGAACCAAGAACTATGAACCGGTCTCCAATACCACCAGTGCCATCAGTCAGCCCTGAAGTGCCAATCATTGGAGCTTGTGGTGGACATTGTCCTGGATTTGAATATGTGTGCTATTATATTTTACAGGTAACAAATTACTTTCAATATTGTTGCTTTTGGTTTAGTTCCTTATTTTTTATTCCTACAGTATACATTATTGTTTATAATTTATTGCATAGATACATTGAGATGGTATAATTTTGTTTCAGGTGATATTTGTAGTAGGTATACTAACTGGGATCTCATTATGTATTGCTGGAATAGTATTACGTCGCACAAACCGCAATGGAGACCTTGGTGTATTAGTTTATATAGGTAAGAAAATAAAAGCCATGTAGAAAATCTACTTACCATAACTTTAATAACTTGACAGTGACTGGTAAATAACTAATACATGTATTTTGCTTTTAGGATGTCTATCTTCATGTGTTTGTGGTGTTTTGCTGGGTGTTCAGTGCTGTGTTCGAAGGGAAATTCGACAAAGAAAGCTCCGGGCGAATATGCACATACCCATGCAATCCATACAGGTGAATAATTTTCATAATATCACTGGATATCATGTAAAGAAAAGAAAAGTTAAATAGATATTTATCTAACACCATTTAATTTCAGTCACAACACTCACTAACTTAAGACAGACATGTTTTTGGTTTTTTTTTAATCACTCACATACATTAATTCAGTCTATCTAAGACCAATTTTATAGTATGTTCCTTATTGCAGGAGACACCAGCCACTGCTTGCCCATTGTTAACTTCCACACTACCTCACAATCAAGTATACAGGTTGGTATAATTTAAATTGTTTTTCATATTATTACTTTGTAAGAAATAAAATACTTTCATATCATTTTTAGAGGTTCAACTATTGAAAACATATTCCAAAAATATGGCTTTTGTTCACAGGCCTACTGTAAGTATTTGTGCTGAAGAAGAAGAGACTGGAGTTCCTTGGTGGCGTCGCTCCAACAGAGACTGATTAGTTTTAAGTTTATTTACAGTGACATTGTATATAAAATGTAACTTTCTCTTAAGAACAAGGACCATAACATTTTTTTTATGAATATAACATATTTTGCTTAACTACTTTCTTTTCTTTTATTCTGTAAATAAAATTATAAATAATGGATAGGCAGTTACACCACCATAATGTTTATGGGAGACATGGGGTCAACCCTCAACAATAGATTTAAATGCCTTTTTGGTTTTACTACATATTAAGAAGCAAGGGATCTTAACTAGGAAAACATGTCAAAAACTGGCATTGTAAATCTCAGTTATTATTCCTTCCGATAAGTAAAATAACTCTAAGAAACGACATAATGGGCAGGTGTGAAATATCAAATTCGCATCGGGTATAACTCCGATTCACGGTTTGCTGAAGGCATTTAGTGTAGAATCTATGAAATAAAACAGAGATCACATCTGACTTACATTTTATTTTATAATAAAACATGAAATATGTCCAGTAAGTACAGTTTACACACAATAACAAAAATAATTGAATAATAAAATATGTTTCAAATTGCTAGAAATAACATAAAAAACCGTTTCGAAAATGTAATCTTACATAATAATAATTTATAAATATCAAATGTAGAAATAATAATACAAGTTTCGCAAGTAAATAAAACTTTGTGTAAAACTAGTAATAATATTGATATATTGCATGTTATTTGTGATTAAAAGATTGCAATATTATGCATAAATTGTAATTGCGCTCTCGCTAAAATCGAGCGCGTCTTCGAAAATTGCGATTTTATCGTTTTTAATTAATCAACTAGCCATTAAACTTCTCTGCGCAATCTCTCCTATTTAGGTATGTTGTGTAACTTATTTTTAGTAAAATAATAAGAGAGCTGTCTTTATAAACTAATAAATTAATGTAATTTTAAATACATATAACATTACAACTGAACACCTATTTAATTTTTCAGTAAGCATTTCACAACAAGTTCTTCATTATTAGAGGGCAATAATAATTCGTATTAAGTTTATAATTAGTTAGAGATTGAAGTTGAAATGAGATAAATTATTGAAATGCAAAAGAGAAGATGCGTAGAAAAAAATATCAGATGTTAAGGGCGACAGTGTTAACGTCCATTTAAAAAATATAAAATAAAGTAAACCCCGTCAATATGCATCGAACTTTGTCATATCCACTAAATTGTCCTTACTATAAAAAAATAGGTAGCTACGATGATCCTTAAATCTAATAAAAAGGACGGTATCCAAATAAAGTTAACTGAAAATAAGTGTTTTAACAACCATGGATGAAAAAAACAGACAAAGTCTGATATAAAATAAATAAAATAGTTGAGAAGTGTGTAGTGAGAATAACATACATAATATTATAGTGCAAGTTTATCGATTATGCACTATAATTATTATCTTTATCGTAATTTTGTCTTTTTGTAACAAATAAACTATTGCAATCGCTATTTATGTGAAAGTTATACTTAACCTTATTTTACTTATTTTAGAATGCGAAATGTATCGTATGAAGTTTCAAGAAAACTAGAGATTTAGTTAAGTAGTATAGAATCTTAATAAAATACAATAAGTATCCTCATTTAAGTATATATATTCTAATCTGGACGATAATTTGGCCACTTGTCTTTTACTAATTACTTTTATTAATCAATGAAGACAAATACTACCAAAAGCTTAAACGATTCTGCAAAGCAAAAAGACCATCAACACCTACGGTGTATGAAATTACGAATAGTTTTAGACACTATAAATATTAAATAGGTAGTTACGTCGAAAAGTTTAGCTCGAACAATTTTAAAATAATAACATTTTCGAGTAATTTGTGCTTATGTATCTAATTTAAATTAAGTATCCAGTTAATCAAACGTTTTGATTGCCTCTTTTTTAAATGATCGGCAAATAGTGCAAGGTATTGGGTACATGATACAAAAAATATCTTACAAGCACTCTCGTCTACTCTTACCATTACACACGTGTTCAAACTTTGTACCTTAAAATGCAACACCTTAACCTTATGGACACCACGGTTACACGATAGAGCGATATTATAAGTACTTTTGGCCGTGGCGAGAGCCTATAACCGATACATCTAGCTGCAAAAATAAATTCAATACTCTCACAGCTCCCGTTCTTATACTACTACTCGATCGTGTTCACAAATTAGGGGGACATTGTTTTAGGACTAGCCTAAGCTCGGGGATCTGTTCTGTCGGCCTTACGCCACGGAGGGCCGGCCGTCCAACATCTTGTCGCTCTCCTCTGCGCTGCTCAAACTGAAACAAGAGAAAAAGTCGATAAATTAAAGCACTTTTTAATTTTAATTTCTGTGACGGGTCTGGGTGTGACTATGTATAATATTTATGTATTAAAAAAAAAAGTATATAAGTAGTATATCCGTTAAGCTAGCACCCATAACACAAGCATTAAGTTGCTTACTTTGGGGCTAGCTGGCGCTGTGTGAAATTGTCCAAAGATTTATTTATTTATATTTTCAAATTAAAATTCTTTAATACTATGTAATAAGGCCCTTTTAGCTATCTATAACTAACTATCGCCCTGAAGCATCGCGAGGGGGTAGGGGCGGTGCGACTAGGGTCTTGGGCTAGGGCCCCTGGCATTTTGCCAGCCCTGCCACCCTACAGTTACGCCACTGGTTCTACCACCACTTTGGGACAACATATCGGCTGGTGCTGTGAAAAAGTGGCCGAAGAAACTGGTCAATAAAATTATTGACAATAGAATAAAAAAGACACAAGGTAACCGAGATTAAAAATCCGCTAGCCCACCTGCTTCGTAAATCGTGGTCCGAGTGGGAAGTCGACCAGACGGTCGGTTGTCCTATTTATCGAGCACAAGACATGCCTACAAATTAATTGCCAATGTATAATAAACAGGATCTACAGTCCACCCTTATTTCAAACTTGACCAGTGAATTAATACCCAAGTGGTTATGTAGATTGACCAAGTACTTGCTAGTACACTTTCAAACAGGTGTACAGTCGCTGTTAGTAATAACTTATGGAGTACGATCACACGGCTAGGAAAACGTTGAATAACACGAGGAGACAATGGGACTCCGCGTGAACTTTAACACCACCTGCCACTCGTGACAATAGCTCGTTGATTACAGTTTCAACAAGTAAACAGTTGAAACATGTAAAACAGTTACACCTACTTAGTTTTCAAAATAATTTTCAGAATCACCGTTATGGAAAGATCACGTGCAAACTGTCCTATTTAATTCTTCATCAGAATCTGCAACTACCTATAGTACTATTGAGTCGGAAATTGAAACAATACACATTAAAATTTATAATTTATCTAACCACGACGTGAACTCTGCCCAGGCGGCACACGCAACTTTTGACTGCTTGAAAAACATAATCTTGAAATAAAAACAACCTTGTTCACGTAATTAAGTTGTCGCTAGCGCGCACGGCTAGTTCTTCTGTGTTAAGGATTCCAGGTGAAACAGGCCTCATCAGCACTATTCTATCATTTGAGGAGATGTAGGCCAAGAGCTTCCTCAACTTACCTATTACTCTTGTTGCCCATGAGGTTGCGCATATCGTAACCGCGGAAGCGCGGGAGGCATCGCTCACAGCAAGTTCCTCTGTGGTTGTTGAGAATTCCGGGCGAAACTCGCTTCCACTGGTCTGATCATCACTTTTGATCGTGTGAACTGTAGACCAAAGGCTTCCTCGTTGTGGTTTAAAAAAAATCACTCCTTGTCCATAAGGTTGCGCAACTCATCATAAGGCGCGGGCGGCCACCAGTGGGTCGGTGGAGGCTTTGAGCTGATTCCGGGTAAAACTCGCTTCTAGCGGCCTGATCAATACTTTCCATCAGGCTAAGGGCTTCCACATCGTCGATGAAAATAAACTTACCGCTGGCGGACAGCCTGTTCCTCTGTGGTTGAGGATTTCAGCTTCGGGCCGCTACCAGCGGATCAGTGGAGGAGAGGTTGAGCGGATTCGGGATGAAACTCGCTTATAACCTCTCAACTCAAGAGATAAAACAGAACTTACCACTCCTTGTTGTCCATGAGGTTGCGCATCTCGTCATCAGGCGCGGGCGGCGCGCGTCGCGCACCGGCGCGTACTGAGCCGCCACCAGCGGATCAGTGGAGGAGAGGTTGAGCGGATTCGGGATGAAACTCGCTTATAACCTCTCAACTCAAGAGATAAAACAGAACTTACCACTCCTTGTTGTCCATGAGGTTGCGCATTTCGTCATCAGGCGCAGGCGGCGCGTCGCGCACCGGCGCATATTGGGCCGCTACCAGCGGGTCGGTGGAGGGATTGAGCGCCGTCAGCGCGGCCGCACCGCTGGCAGGCGCTTCTTTGCCCATGCCCCATCTGGATGACCAGCAGGCCCAGCCGCCTACACCTATAAAAAAGATAGATTGAATTACTTTCGATGTTAAGAGACTGTAGGAGGGTTCAACCTCCTGCCCCATTTGATTTTGGACCAATCATAATAGCTTAAACCTTAAAACGAATGACTATTAAATTACTTTCGATGTCAAGAGGCTATAGAAAATGTTCAACTTATATCTTTACTCATGCCAAGTCTGGACGACCAGACTGCAGCCGCCTACACCTTCAAAACAAATGACTGTACTATCGGATTACTTTCAATGTCAATAGGCTATAGGAAATATTCAACCTCCTTGTGTTCTTGCCCACGCCCCATCTGGACGACCAGCGGCCCTAACCGCCTACACTTTAAAACAAATGACGACTCGATGTCAGGGGGCTATAGGAGGAAAAGTTCAAAGTTTAAAATACAAAACAAATGTCTTTTTTAGAGATTGAATATTATGTTCAATTCCTAGTTCCATTTAATGAATGAACAAAATTGTTGCATAACATTTGAGAATTTAATTATACCAAATTAATGTCCACAACGTAAATAATGGATAATGGATGGATGCCATAATCGTCGTTACGATACGAGTACTCCATACCCATACATTTCCGTTCGCAGCGGAAACCCCATTATTAATGTATCGCATCCATATAATATGCGACTATCGGTACATCACATCCGTGGCGCCTCGCAAGTCCCATGGAACCGATTGGGAATAGAGACGCATACGAGGTTTCCGTCGGCCGTAACAACCGTATGACGGGAAAGGGCCTTCCTGTCACTCCCGTATTCAAAGGTATATTCGCTGTTATTACTGCGGTTAACGTACCAATGAAAATGATACTCTAGTAAACAGCATGAACATCAGCATTTCAACTTTTTATTTATAACAAACAGCAAGCAAAATTTCTTGTTGCTTATGCAAAATTAAACGTTCTTTCATTTGTTAAATGATTGATTTTATTATTGACAACAGACTGTGTTAGATTACCTACGTAGCAAACTATTCTTGGCCTAGAAGAAAAAATATTATTATCACATCCAGCAAACATAATAATAAAGAAAGAACTAAATGGGTTTACTTATTCTGAGTATTTCTGAGCCAATATTGTTTCGTTGCTTAAGAATAAACCATTTACTAATTAGATTTGCCATAAAAGGTAACCCCTAGCGTGGTTCATAAATTTTGCCTGCAGTGCCAGTGCCAATCCGTTCCGTGACCGGTCAACAGATAATTTAATGGAAACACCTGATGACCTCGCCACACTGACCTTTACCTTTCCAGTAAAATACGCCTGTATTTCCCATTTATTTTTAGGAACTGATTCTGTCCTTCATTTAAATTACAGTGCATACCTACTAACATGTAATTTAGTTTTAATACGGGCCTTGTTTCTTTAACGAGAAGTGAAGTGATGGATCTTATTATTGTCATGTACGAAAAGTACTACTTATGAGTTATGTGCCAGCTAAACTAAATTAATGTTTCTGATTAAAATTGCTAATTTTATATGCAAGACTCATAATAAGAGAAATTTGAAGGTGAGGGTTGACATAACCAACGCAATCGTAGCCAAGGCTGTTTTGAATTTACGATTTTTTTAGGAATGTGGAAATAATATTTGTTTTTATTATTTTACCATTTATGTAACGTTATGTAACTACAGTCACGAGACGTGAGTGACTGAAATTGCATTCACAGCGATTAACTTTTTGGTTTGAAGTGAACTGGCGCACGTATTTGCGGAAGACATTGTATTATTTTCTTTAATATAAAAAGTTGAACAATAAAAGAAGGTATCATTATTAGCATTGGATGCTTTTAACACGAATGTAAAATGGCTTTCACTTCATAATATTACGCAACAACGTAATGGGCGTTCGAAAGTGTGCACTCAAGGTGGCCCTTTCAGAAGCGTTAAATTAAAAAGAGCACAAGCCAAGAGATTTTTTTTTCAATAATTTCAAAACTTTCTCTCAACAACTAATAGAATTGCTTGAAGAAAATATTATTTTCTAAGAAGCTCTTCCCAGAAATACAGAATAGAGAAACTGGCAACGGTAGAGAGGACCTACGTGACCTAGATCGTTATTAAAGTTTTGAACTAAACAGAAAAGCGCTCTCGAGATTCGCAGCGCTGCCTTTCTATAAGCGAGAAAAGAGGTCAACTTAATTATTTTTCAATTAGCTCACCTGCAAAGAGCAATCCCAAGCAAAGGACGACGGCTCCGGCGATAAGCGTCCCCAGGCCATTGTCGGCTCCTTCTGGCGTGTCTGAGGCAGGTGTGTTAGAATACTGAACTCCACCCGCGATCAGCAATGCTAAACCTGGAAAAGAAAGAAAACAATTTGAGTGATGGTTTTGATTACCTGCATAATTTAGAGACGAGCTTTATTTCCGAAGTGGAAAAATGGATATTACATAGTTACAAACTGTCTGATTAATCATCATCATCATCTCAGCCATAGGACCTCCACTGCAGAAACATAGGCCTCCCCCAATGCTTTCCATGTCACCCGGTTGGTAGCGGCCTGCGTCCAGCACTTTCCTGCTACCATTCAGATGTCGTCGGTCCACTTTGTGGGTGGACGTCCCACGCTGCGTTTGATTAATATTTCCATCCAATCAACTAACTAACTGATGATACAATTATTGGTAATTTCTAGGCCCAAAAAATACAATTTTATACTTAAAAGATGTGTAATAAAAAGTACACATCAAAGTCTAAAATATTGCTAAGAATTAAGCTAATTCTGCAGCTCAAACTAAAGTACGATTTATCTCATAAAAACCAAATCCACCCACGCCGTCCAGTCCAGTGCAACGCTCTACGTGGGTGGTGAAGGTGCGATGCAATTTGAGTGTCTTAATATTTTGTGCCGTATGTGTATTTTGAGCCGTAAACAACAACAGAAAAGAATCACCTTGCGATGCAGCCAGAATTTTAAATGAATGCGATCAGATTACCATAACTAAAGCGCGGGTTATCAATGCAGCTCGTGTTGTTAGCGCTCCCGTCATCGTCGTTAATTTACATTTAATAGGTCTCCCTCTGCCAAACAGTAGTACGTTCTTGGCAGAAGTCGAAAACACAACAATTAGTGGAAATTATGCAAACTAAAACACTCGATCGTCTCTTCTGCTTTGCACGTGGGAGTAATATCCATCCATTGACAAAAAATAAATAAAAACAAACAATATTTTGTTCTATTTTATTCAGATAACACGATCCTGATAAACATAATATTTATTTCAATTGAGTGATATCATCACTTTCCAGAATTAACTGTATCAACGTGTACATAGGTAGGTTAAGTCGTTAAACTTAAATTGTTTGTTTACATTTACAAATGTAGGTATTTCTAGTAGCACGCACGAGTACTACTAAGAATTGTGTGGTAACTGGTAGCTCTATAAATATTATTGTATTCTGGGACCAAAGGAGTCACAAACTGCGTCATTCATTGGGCCTATCTACCGAACTTTGGACAATAGGGTTCAACAATGATGACACATACAGTAATTACCATACAAATTATTCAATGCTAATCACCACTTCAAACTGGGTTATGCATTCATACGAGAGGAATGTTGTTTGAACTAGTTTTTATGCCGTTCGATAATGAATTTAAACTTCAAGATACCGTGAAATAATGGTAATAATTTTTGGAGTACCATTAATATGAGTATCTAATTTAGCAACAAAGTACCTAAAATGTATGTAACAACCACTTTGATAAAAAAAAGCATTGACAAAAGACTCTTGCGCAATCCTCAAAGTTCAAGATAATCAGAAATGTTTCCCAAAATTAGATAATAAGAAAGAACTAAGAGTGCTTTATTTTTCAGTTTCCGATGAAGAAACCTCTAACAAAACAACTACTGATGATGCATCTAAATTCTGGTAACTTGTGAAAAAAAATCTATACATCGTAGGTTGTATTGTATCCTCACCCAAACTATAACTAATGTCATTCACAGACACAGCTAAGCAGCGCATGACGAATTGATTCACCTTGAAGTGAAGACGCCTTAGCCGTTATGGATGAAATGATGAAGTTACAAAATAGCCAGTAAAATCTAGGTACAGTTTGCTATATGTTTCAACAATCGCCAAGAATTCGTCTTTGAAACTGTAATAAATGTAACAATCAATGCACCGGAAAGTATAATGAAGATCGACGATGCTGTGAAGGGCAGTGGCATATTTACAACTTCTATCAGTTGAATTGAACATAACATAGCAATGTTGGCAAAAAAGTATCGATATTGTGCAGAACACTATGTAGAGGTCCTTTGGGCGAGTCTGCTTTATTATAGCAATACGACGATCTATCGATTCAGCAAATATTATCCCAAAGAATTGCGCAGTTTCTATTCACATCTAGATTGAGTATAATTTTGTCCATGATGATACAATTTAATTTAATCTAGAATATTAGTCCAATGAGATGAGATCCTACAGAGTACAAGAGTCACTGATCACGGCGATAAATTGTTATGTAAATTATAATAGAAATCACGGATACAATACATTACCTATTCAAGTCGATATGGGTAGGTAACATAAAATACTGTTATACTTATGATAATGAGCAACCTACGCTTAGAAGCAATAAGGACGTTTGTTAGTAGTTCATTGTAAAGGATGAAGTACCTATCGATATACCTTATCATAGCTGCATTATTATGAATCAGATGAATGAAGTTGTTCATATAAGGTACTTGCGATATTACTTCAACATTCGCGTACACATAAACACATTATTAAATTACATAGTTGTGTGACTTGTGTGCAACAACATTTGACATCTTTGACTTATGATTCCAAGGCACAAATTCACTTTTAACGTATTTTGTCTCTAAAGTTTTAGCATAGTTTTGATTTATTTTAACAGTAGGCACACTTCTTTTAAGTCTTGATTTGCAACGTGTTTTTTTTGTTGTTTTAGTATTAAAACTGCTATTTTGGAATGGATCTTCGAAATACCCACTCCTCTCAAACTTAAACGTGCTACAGTATTTTTATAGCTGTGCAAGACTTCTAATTATGAAACCAGAAATACCATTCCAATTCTAACAATGAACCTCGCTGAACGATTAGCGGTCCCTGAGGATTGCGAAAATGGGGCGCCGCAACGGAAGCAGTGGGCATTCAGTGGGCAGCAGAACGCATTAGCGATTCATTAGCCCAGCTTTCACTGCAACACTGACCTGAACAATAAACACCCACTCTTAGAATAGAACTAGTTTCATTTCGTAAAGAATACAGAGACAGATGGAAGAGTATTTCCAATGGGTAGAGTTGTCTACGATTAATACCTAAGTTAGATAATGAGATTACCTTTATCGATGTCTAACTCGTCTAGACACTAGACAGCAAAAAGTATCTAAGTATGTCTATTAGGCAGTCTATGTAAAATAATTCGTGGAATAGAGGAAGTTTTACTTATCGATCGCCCCAGGGGACCTTGTAGATTCAAGGAGATGCCTACATAGTCTAGGATAAAACATTCGATTCATTCGGTGGCCTGTTTGTTTAGCTGACATCATCACCTACATATTCACGGAAATAAATGTTCCACCAAGCTAATAAAATTTTTACAACTAGTTTCTCAAGAACAGACTGTCCAGTCAGACGAATTTAACGCTGGACTGGAACCGGTTCCATCAGATGTAATTTTATCCGTGGACTACGAAATCAATGATGAATAAGAAAATCTGCAAGTGTGGTGAAATAGGTTAGGAGTTAATTATTATGAAAGCTAGGTAACTCGGCGTTGTACCGATTACCTAAGTCATTGTAACTTCTACAAAAGTGTGTTACGACGAAATTTGGTTGGCAACAGCTGTCAAATATGATGGTTAATGTACTGCCTAATTGGAGGCTTGAAGACCGACAGGCTAACGCTGTATGGCCTACCAAACTTGTCGAAATCTAAATAGGTACACCTACCTACCTACGTTGAAACGCGGAAGTCGTTATCAATAGACCAACGTAAATCGTACCCCATAAAAAGTTATTGAACTACTAAGTGGTAGGTAATTGATAAAAAAAGTTTTTTAAATCACCCAATTTGTCGAACAGTGTCGAAGCGGTATAACTACAAAGTACCTACAATGAGAGGAGTCTATTAAGGAAACGACTTGATAGTCTGGCTGCGTGGAGTTTGTCGACCTTCGAGCGCGGTGCCTGTTCCTTCGATTGGCCATAAGCACTAAGCAGTTATAGAAACGACATTGTTTACCCGTCGTTTAGTTCGATTTTGCGATGCTGATGCGTCAATAAATAATTAGAAAGTATTTTTACCATCATCTGGGATCAAAACAATGTTCTGAAGTAGGTAAATTTAAACAAAGGCAAGCTGAAACCTAAACAAACAAGGAAGGACAACGAAAAAGGAAAGAAACGTATAAGTATTGTATAAGGAATATTTGCGTAAACAAACTGTGGCGTATTAGGTGTATTAGGTAGCTAGTCTTGCGGTTGTATAGGGCTTCGCATTTCACACACTTGAAGCCTAGGGAAACCCAGATTACATTACACTACAATTTATAGATTGCTACTTATTGGCCTGAAAGGTTGACGACCTAACTAAGAGGGTAGTTAAACTGTCAATACAATGACTTCAACTATCAAAGGTGGTGTTCAGACCAGGGGAATCTAACGTGATGGTTCATATCTAGATTTTATAAGGTTGGCATCAAAACTTAGCGCATTAATACGGGAAACGGGACCTCTAAGCATCTATCGGTCTATAGTCGCGACGAGATCAGTCAGATCACGCAACCAGCCACCGGATGAGTCACCCGCCGCAAGCCACGCGGTGACGCCGCCACCCGACCCCGCTAGCCCGTCACCACCACCGCGAGGCGATACGCACGTTATCGACATGAGACATGAGCTTATTTCGCTACCGTGGCTATACTGTTACCGCATGTGGTATCGTATTTGCAATGATATTTAAGTAATCTAGTAGATAATTCGCTACTGGGTACAAGATAGAAATCCGTGTTAAGTTAAAAATGACTTGTTTGTAAAATTTTCTCGTTATTGTTCAGGGTGGAAAAAAATCACGATTTTTTTATTTTAATAAAAAAAAACAGATTTTTTTGAATAAATCGTGATTTATTTCATTTATATTGATTTTTTTGATTTTTATTCGATTTTGCAATCATTGCCTTAGTTTTTCATGCGGAAAACATGTTTATTTAGGTACAATTGAGGTATAGTACTGGGAACAAGCCAAAAAAGTTAAATTATGTAAACAGCTCGTCCTAAGTGGTGTCTGTTTCCATTACAAAAACACGAATATCTTTTCACAAGTATCAATTTTATTTTTTTCGCAAAAAATATTTCATATAATTTCATACCTGAACACCTAATATAACATTGTTTTGAACATTACAGTTGATTAATATGCACTCCCAGCGTTGCATTAATTCCATTTTAGTATAATGATTTAAATCAGTGATTTTTATAAAAAAAAACATGCAATAAAAATCGTGATTTAAATCATGCAACCCTGTTATTGTTCTGCTATCATGCGGTTCAGGCATAACGAAAACGCGAAACAGAATTTATAATACCTACTTCTTTTACTTAGCTACACAGAAGTCACAGTTGAATGTGATATTGGATACCTTTAAAACCGATAAACTGATAAGTGCCCTATTTGTTTGTTGACATTCAATAAAAAAATTCCAAGGTTTTTTTCTGTGAATTTGGGCTCCATATATGCCATTTATTATACCTACATTATGAATGAACCTGCATGTAATATTACTTTTAAAAACTGTACACGGTTTACAAGTTTTGACCATGATTAAAAATTCATTTTATGATATTATTATCCCAATCAATTTGTCACGAAAAACGTAGACAGCCATAATGTACCGGTGTAATTATTCATGCGAAACGCGTATCGTCAAGGTGAATAGGTACTTAATATTTATTACGTAGGTACCCAACCAGAGTGATACTACGTCCCCTACGTTTTTGTTCTGAGGAAGTTGTCCATCATTCACACCCATGTGCAGACATCTAGCACCTATTATTTTGCTGTATCAGGAAACATAAGCTGTTGTCCAATCAGAAAATTGGATATGGATTTCATTAAAGATTATGCTAATGTAACATAATCCTACATTATATGAAGTTGAACCCCTCTGTTAGTTTCAAAGGATTTTAATACTGGTGAAATAAAAGCAGGTCTGAAGGTAACACATACATACTTTTAATTAACATTATGTAATGTATTCTTCTTAACTAAACTCTGTTTTATTAGAGTGAATGAGTAATTGCATTGGAATGCAATCTACACTTGCGAGCAAAAGTATGGAATCACTTACATGAAGTTGTTTCCACGCGATCTTGTGTACTAACCAATTTGTTAGTAACAAAAAAAGTAGCACCATTTTAAAGATTAAACTTTTAACTTTAAATTGATACCAAATTCATTTAAATCACACCAGTATTTAAAAAAATATCCCGGCTGATGTGAAGAAGTAAGGAAAAAGACATGTATCAACTGTTTGATACGTCGCGAGTTGCGGCCTATTTATTCCCCATAAAAGCAAGTGTTTTCAGATTTTTGCTTTCACACGTTGATCCATACACATCTCCGCTTCTTTTGACACTTTACCTGGGATTCTACACCTTCAGAAGCAGCACAAATTGTTGCATTTTTGCAAGAAGGGCTCAGCCAGCGGGCTGTCGCACGTCAGCTCCACATAAGCCAGTCCTGAGTTTCGAAAGTTTGAAGACGCTTTCAGGATACCGGTGGCTTTATCCCGAGACCAAGTTCTGAACATTGCCGGTGCACATCGCAGAGGGAAAACCGTTTTTTCATGTCAACTTCTCTACGAAATCGTCATTTGACTGGTATCGACGTCCAGCAAGAGCTCAGAAATGTTCGTAGGATAGCTGTTAGCAAGTGGACAGTTTGTCTAAGATATAAACAACAGAATTTGACTCCAAAAAGGCCTGCCACAGGCTTGAAACTGACGGCAGGTCACCGATAAGTACGCTTTCAATTTGCTCCTACACATCTCGATCGGAAGTCGAGCAAGCCACCCCCATAAGCCAATGTTTTAGCGAACCAGCACTGCACAAATCGCTCCCTAGGCCGTCTATTGACCCGACCTCTTCGACTGCTGCACAGCAAAAACATTCTGCATTCATCGGAGAACAAAACTCGCCTCCATTACTCGCCTTCCGAGTGCGACCTAATTGAAAGCGTGCTTGTCGGTGACCTGCCGTCAGTTTCCAGCCTGTGGCAGGCCTTTTTGGAGTAAAATTTTATTGCTCATATCTTAGACGAACTGTCCACTCGCTAACAGCTATCCTACGAACATTTCTGAGCTCTTGCTGGACGTCGATACCAGTCAAATGACGATTTCATAGAGAGGTTGACATGAAAAAACGGTCATCCCTCTGCGATGTGCACCGGCGCTGTTGAGAACTTGGTCTCGGGATAAAGCCACCAGTCTCCCAAAAGCGTCTTAAAACTTTCGAAACCCAGGACTGACTTATGTGGAGCTGACGTGCGACAGCCCGCTGGCTGAGCCCTTCTTGCAACAGTGCAACGATTTGTGCTGCTTCTGTAGGTGTAGAATCCCAGGTAAAGTGTCAAAAGAAGCCGAGATGTGTATGGATCAACCTGTGAACGCAAAAATCCGAAAACACGTGCTTTTATAGGGGTAAATAGGCCGCAACTCGCGACGTATCAAACAGTTGGTACATGTCTTTTTTCTTACTTCTTCACATCAGCCGGGATATCTTTTTAAATACTGGTGTGATTTAAATGAATTTGGTATCAATTTAAAGTCAAAAGTTTAATCTTGAAAATGGTGATACTTTTTTTGTTACTAACAAATTCGTTAGTACACAAGATCGCGTGGAAACAACTTCATGTAAGTGATTCCATACTTTTGCTCGCGAGTGTATTAATAGAATAAAACTATTTTGATAAAAGAAAATAATTAGAAAGAAACTATTAATTTGAAATATTGCCCAGTACATGCCTTATGTTAGAAATATTTGAAGACTACAGACAAAGTATATTTTATTTATTCTCGTTTGCGTTATCAAACAATTGTGTAATAACCATTATCCTCATAATAATATTATGACAATAAATAATTTGCTGTAACCTAATTATTATTTTATTTTAGTTTAGTCACATCTTATTGTCGTTAGGAAACTCGAAACATCTGTATGAGGATATTCAAATGTATGGCATGTCAAGGTAAGTAATCAATGTGATATCTATTGCCGTGGTAATTTTTTTTTTTTTTTTTTGATGATTCTGCTTCATGGCAATCTGTTTTTTCAACAATAAGCCACTTCTTTGGTTGATTCCTCAGATTATCATAATAATCATAATAATCATTTATTTATTGCTTCATAAGTGTACATAGGTGGTGATCTTAAACTTAGTCTCAACTTATGACCCTGTAAGGGTGTTGCAAATCTTGTATCGTAGGTACATTACTAAATATTCTACAATAGTTAGTAATAATTATTAATATTGATAAATTATAAAATTAATTAGTTTACATAATTTTACATGTTTTCTTCGAGAGCCATACTTGTATGAAAATTCATTTCACACGACTCTCTTGATGTCAGGTGGTAAATCTTTTATGTAGGCTCGGTATGTCATTTCTCTTCAGCCGGGTGTGTTGAAGAGCGCCTTCCCCACTCAGAGCGTGCGCTAATTTGTTAACATGGGCGGTCAGCTTCTCCTGGTATTTCAGGCTGTTTTGGGCTATTTCCTGCCGAACTGTTTTTAGGCCGAGGTCGAGGTATATGTATCTATTACTTATACAATGTGGAATGCCAAACATTATTCGCAGAGCTTTGGTCTGGAATCTCTCCAGGATATCTATATTACTGTTGCTGGCCGTTCCCCACAGTTGTATACCGTAAGTCCAGATCGGTTTTATGGTAGTTTTGTACACTAGCATCTTGCTGCTAGGACTTAATTGTGATTGGCGTCCCATTAACCAGTTCAGTGACCGCAGCCTTCCATCCAGTTGTTTGCGCTTCGTCCAAATATGTTTCTGCCACGTAAGTTTCCTGTCTAGGTGCATGCCCAAGTATTTTGCGTTATTGTCTTGAGGGATAACTTTGCAGTTTAGCGTTACTGGTGGACATGTCTCTTTCCTGAGTGTGAATGTTACANGTTATTGTCTTGAGGGATTATTTGCCGTGGTAATAGCTTAGCGAATTTGCATCAAAAATCTGATATGTCGTCAGTAGTTTTTTGGGTTGGTATGTTAGTTCATTTACTGAATTATAGATCATCATTAACACGTAATTTAGTCCTCACTGCAGGAGCAGGAGCTCCTTTTGCTGACTTTTGCCTCTGGTAAATTAAGAGGTCCTCCTCTTAATTTACCAGAGGCAAAGTCAGCATCTTGGCATGAGATAAAGGGATCCTTTTGATCTTAATAATCAATATGATTAGTGAATGAATGAAATAGCTGCTATGTTTGCAAAAGACATTTTAAACATGATTTATCAACACATAGCCTACATTTGAAAACAACACACTTATCAGCATCTTGTTTAGTGATTAGAACAGTTACCTGGTAAACTAAAGGTCATGAGTTCATGCCTCAGCTGAAGCAATTATTACTTTTAATCCTACCTTCACATAAATATAAGCAGCATAACAAATTATGGAATTAAAACCTAAATACTTTTGATGTATTCCAGTCAAGGCCTTCCAATGCTTGAATAGTAAACATTGTTTGTTCATTTATAATGGATAGTGAATTTCTAATTGGATATTTTGGCCAGTGTGTGGCAATTATACAAAAGCACTCTAGTGCTTAAAATTAAGTTTTAGCATGCAAATGGAACTCACCAACAATGAAAAGTGTGCTGCCCAGTAAACATAGACCAATCCGTACACATGTAGCCCTATTAAGACTGCTTGTCACACGACGTGAGAAGTAGCTCATAGGGCAGTTCCATCGCTGATCGCTCGGCTGCTGTTCATAGGTTACTGTTGTTGGTTGATACACTGCACTCGTCGGCATAGTGATATCTTTATAACCGCACTCACAAAACTATTAATCTGTCCACTTAGGTATTTCACAAAAGAGTAAGCATAACTTTATTCAGAAAAGCTTTTGTTACTACTGTGCAAAATCAAAAAGAAGACACCAAAATAGACGAAGGAGCACTCACTAAACACCAACACAAATCAACTTTATATTAATATCGATATCACACCAGTAGACAATACTTAATTATTTCGTAAAGGTTTGCGCTTTTAGTTAGATTTGCCTCAAACGAAAGAAAGACACGACAGAAACAAGCATCACAATAAAAATGTCACGCTCGCGGGGGGGAATTCGAGTTGGAGGAAATGAATGAATGAGTGACTGAACGAATGAGTCTGTGAATCATCTACGGAATGAGTTATATTCCATTGATTGTATAAAAGTATAGATAGACTGAGCAGACTTTCCATTCCCATTTCCCGCAAGAAAATGGTCCTCTAATCCATATCAGACTGTGAAATGGTCAGTGTCTGAACTAATCGGCAACATTGTTAACTACTCATTGCCGATGTCGTCTCGTTCCATCGCAAAGAATCACCATTTGATGAGAGCGAGAGCAAAAACGGAAATGGATAGTTAACAGTGTGGCCGTGTGAACATGGAGCTTAAAGGACCGGTTTCCACCAAAGCGGAAAAAAGAGACGAAAGGAGCGGATGGTTTGGGTGTGCGAGGAGCAGGGCGCACGACACACATGTCTCCACTTGATCTATTCCCACCGAAGCTGAGTGGAGATTATGGTTAGTCAAAAGACATCTTTAATCTCTCGTCGCCACCTTGGTGGAAACCAGGCCTATTATAAGGCAGCCTGTCCACTGAAGTAGAGCGGGTCAGCAAGAGCAATGCGAAGCGTAGACTCCCGCTCTCAGCCTCTCATCAAAAATGTTGATCTTTGCGATAGAAGGAGACGACATGACCGGAAATGGGTAGCTTGTATTTACGCGGAACGTAGTAATAATTTTGCGCACGTGGAGTGTGGCTGTGGTGTGGCGGAGTTTAGGCCGCGAGATGTAACCACAAACTTATCTCCGCTCCGCTCTTGTACGATTAAAATTAAATTATACCGACTACGCGCAACATGAGAAACGGAGATTTTATACAAATTGTATCGGCGGGCGGATGAGGATTTAATGTTAGCTTAATTTCTACCTACCTATTATTCGACTATTTCGTTGAATATTGCGCACTTTTAAAGAATTAATAAAAGTGATTATAAGCGAATAGTGTATTGACTATGTAATGTCGGCCGCGGCGCCACAGGCAGCGCAGCCTCTCTCATCCCAACTAATATTATAAATGCGAAAGTAACTCTCTGTCTGTCTGTCTGTTACGCTTTCCCGCTTAAACCTCGCAACCGATTTTGATGAAATTTGGCATAGAGATAGTTTGAGTCCCGGGAAAGAACATAGGATAGTTTTTATCCCGGTTTTTGAAACAGGGACGCGCGCGATAAAGTTTTTCTGTGACAGACAAAATTCCACGCGGGCGAAGCCGCGGGCGGAAAGCTAGTTAATAATAAATAACAATTCTTTGATTATGAAAAAATATTTTATTTAAATACAATGATATATTTATTCATTATCATTAATAAATCATTATCTACTAACTAAACAGTCATAATTTTAATATTACAAGTAACTTAATAGATAAAAGGCACTCATCCATGTTATAAATATAAATTTCTAAACCAGGTATTTCATATTATATACATTTTACCAACATAAACAGTAAATTAATCTTACATAATATAAAATGTTGAATAATATTATATAGTGGAATATTCAGTCATAAATAGCATTTTACAAAACGAGTTTCTACTTTCTGAATTTATTGCAACTTGAATGTGATTTATTTACATATTAATGTTATGAGATTAATAAGGCACCAACATCATGAGCATTCACCTCTTTCGAAAGCTTTATTTATGCATTAATCCCATCGTTTTACTTACATACATACATAAAATGTTAACATCAGCATTCTTAGATTTTGTACTGAACATGTTAATATTAACTATAAAAATACTAATACATACAATATGTTCGGTTTTGTACATCTCACACAATAGTGCCGCATTGTAAAATATAACTAACACAGATTGATATCTAGGTTACATATAAATATCGCTAGCTGTAACAGTTGAGAAAACATGAAAAAGGAAGCCCAGCAAATACAAAATAGACCATATGCTATTCACTGGAGAATCGCACAGAATTATTTATGTAATAAAATCTTATAAATTCAAGATATTCCTTAAAGTCTATGAAATGTATGTATACCATTATTGAGCATGGTGTGCTATCAAATTGTTAGTCATGCATGTACGTGTATGTGTTCGTTTTCGATATAAATGTGCATTCAAATATTAAGTGCAACCAACACCTAACCACAAACTGAGTTACGCGAAAATAAAATAACAAAAATTTGTGTACGACTAATGAACACAAATTGATTTAAAAAGTCATGCCCTATTCGATTTAAAATAGTTCAAGGCTACCGATATAATTTTCTAACGAGTAAATAGTATTCATGTGGTCTGTTAAATATTACTTATGTCATGTTTTTTTACAATTTTGTATCAGTCTCATTATACATATTAATAACACTCAGCAAATAGAGTAGCGCGGTGTCAAATTTTGTCTTCTGAACACTTGAAATTAAGCAGTTTGATTCAAAAATATCATCTGCAAACGTAATCAAGAACGCAGATGTAAATAAAATAATATGTTAACAGACTACCTGCCCGTACTGCCCCCCTAGACAAAACGCACTTTTTGATCGAATCGAAAATCGAATCCGTCAAAACTCCATACAAAAAAGGGGCTTTTCGACCACTTTGCGACTGGTTTGCGATTATAATTTGCACTTTGTCTAGACCCACTGAACGATAAAAGCATAAAAGAAAGATACCTGTACAATTTTACGTCGAAAGTACACTACGACTGTCGTTTCGGGTCGGTCGGAGTGAAAGAGACATTTATTTCTATCGCCCGAAACGACGCGAACACAACCGAGAAGCGTGGGCAGTGAAGCCATCACTCGACCGCAAAGCCGGCGGTTTCGAGCACGGCCTGCTTGAGTTTATCGTGGAGGCGTTCCTTGGTCGGGTAGGGTGGTAGGTCGAGGCGGTTGAAGCATGTGTGAGCCTTGGGCAGCGAGTCGGGCGACGCGTCGGCGACGAGGTGCAGCGTGAACAGACGTGGCGCGGCGGCGCCCGTGGAGCCCTGCAGCGCGCGGAAGCCGGCCAGCGGCACGCGCCGCGACCCCGTCACGAACTGGAGTAGGCGCGCGCGCATCTCTGCGTCGAACTCCTCCACCACCTTTTGAAAAAAGAAGTATTAATACTAGCTGTCCTGGTGAACTCCGTACCGCCTAATAGATGATGAATAGATGTACAAGGATTGTTATGACATAACATGTTACGACTAATGCTGAGCCAGGAACGGCCCAGAAGGCGTATCGTAGGTAGGCCTTCCACTAGGTGGACCGGCGATCTGATGAAGGTCGCGCGAAGTACCTGGATGGATGCGCAACGCAGGACCTGTTGTGGAAATCCTTGGGGAAGATCTTCGTCCAGGAGTGGACGTAATTTGACTATAACAATAGATTCATCTATGTGTCCTTCAGCTTACTAAACCGTCTGATTCGATTTCGTAAAGAAACACTGGACATTGACCTCTCCATAGCACGTTGTGCAACTTTGAGCTTCTTTATAAGGCCTATAGTGAGAGGCCACGTTTCCGAGCTATAAAGTCTTCACTGGTAACACACATTGGTTGTAAACTTTCGTCTTCAGGTCTGGTTGGACTGACGGCCGATGGGGCAGCAAGGTTCTGGAATGGAGGCCGCGTAGCGCAAAACGCAGCGTTGTACAGCGTTGGTAGCAGGAAAGCGCTGGACGCAGGCCGCTACCAACATGGAAAACATTGGGGGAGGCCTATGTTCAGTAGTGGACGTCCTATGGCTGAAATGATGATGATGATGATGAATAGATTCATTATTACCTCCCAGAACCACCCCACGAGCGGCGCATCCGGCGCCACATGCTTGAGGCGCGTATGACGTCTCCAGTCGGCCGGGTCAAGGTCGGAGCGGCCGGCCAGCAGCGGCTGCAGATCGCGCGGCGACAGCGGTCGCAGCAGCTGCGGCGGTATAATGTCGGTGAGCCCGCGCTGTAAGGCCAGCCACTGGCGTTCAGCGCCGCGCGTGAAGCGGTGCGCGACGTACAGACGCACGTATTCGCGCTTGTTCTGGTCCGTCACCGGCTCCGCGGCGCCGCCCGGTCGGAGCTCCACGCTGCGCACGGCGCCGAAGGAAGAGCACTCGACTGAGAAAGTCGTGTCGATCACGCCCGCGATGCTGTTCTCGCTGTGACGGGAAACGATATTATTTTTAATACTATCCAATAAAATAATTTGAATTGTGACAGTTTCTAAGTGATATAAATAAATTATGAATATGTTTCTGGACATAAACAATAAACAGACATGTTGTTCAGCTTAACATAGCGCCCAGGATGCAAAATTCTACCTATGACGTAGTACCCTCCTCACGAGCGGCTAAAATTTCTACATATTGACGTAGTAGACTCTTCACGAGCGGCCAAAACTTCTACATAATGATGTAGTAGCCTCCTTACGAGCGGCCAAAACTTCTACACAATGACGTAGAAGCCTCCTCACGAGCGGCCCAAACTTCTACACAATGACGTAGTAGCCTCCTCACGAGCGGCCCAAACTTCTACACAATGACGTAGAAGCCTCCTCACGAGCGGCCATCATCACATTTTTGTTTTGTTGCAATATAACGCCTATTACAACCCCACAAGACACTATATTACTCACAGCATCCAGGACAGCGAGCAGTAAGCCCAGCACCTATTACAACTACTCAAGGCACAATATCGCTTGACGGTCGCACTCACAGCATCCAGGACAGCGAGCGGTGCAGCTCGGATCGACCTCGCGGATGTCGCAATCAATTAATTACTCGTAGAAGGGCGCCGTGAAGGCCGCGCCCAGGACACGCTCGCTCCTATTACAACTACTCAAGACACAATATCGCTTGACGGTCACACTCACAGCATCCAGGACAGCGAGCGGTGCAGCTCGGGGTCGACCTCGCGGATGTCGCAACCAAGTAATTACTTGTAGAAGGGCGCCGTGAAGGCCGCGCCCAGGACCCGCTCGCTCCTATTACAACTACTCAAGACACAATATCGTTGGCGATCGCACTCACAGCATCCAGGACAGCGAGCGGTGTAGCTCGGGGTCGACCTCGCGGATGTCTCGCAGCGTGATGGCGCGGCCGAGCAGCTGCTTGTAGAAGGGCGCCGTGAAGGCCGCGTCGAGTTGGTGCCCGTGGAATAGTGCCACGCCCAGGATGCGTCCCGCGAAGTGGAAGTATGATAGATGTTCCGGGTTCACCTGGGAATAAGTAAAGATAAGTATACATCTGTTAGTGTTACCCTAAGGTAGTACGAGTAGAGTGAGGCTATATGGTATTTAACCTAGTTAAAAATAAATTTTCAGAAAGCTATGACTGACGCAGCGTTAACAATATGTAGTCACTCGCGGGCCACGCCCCCTTAGTTTCACCCAGCCCCTTTTAGCAGAACTTGATCTAACGTGTCTACTAGGTAGAAATTTAGCTCTTACCCCTGAATCAGCATTGATCTGCAGCGCGTATCTGTCATCGCCAGCGTACTGCGGGTTGAATAGTTCCCTGCCCAGCAGATGGAGCCACTCGCGCGCCACGCCCTCTTAATCTCGCACTTTTTGCACAACTTTCTCTAGCGTGTATTATATTAAAGCCCGGTCCGTGAGCACGTAGAATTTTGTCCAATGACCCCTTGCTACCCATCCTTATCGCTCGCGCGTAATTATATTGCTGTCGTGACTGTGCGACTGGCACCCACAGTAAGTGTGCGAGAGCGATAGCAACATAATTACGCGCGAGCGATAAGGATGGGTAGCTAGGGGTCATTGGACAAAATTCTACGTGCTCACGGACCAGACTATAGATAGAAATATGCTTTAGCTCTTACCCCTGAATCGGCGTTGATCTGCAGCGCGTATCTGTCATCGCCAGCGTTGGCGTACTGGAACAGCCCGTACTGCGGGTTGAACAGTTCCCTGCCCAGCAGATGGAGCCACTCGCAGGCCACGCCCCTTTAATCTCACCCCGCCCCTTTTAGCAGAACTTTATCTAACGCGTATACTAGATAATTATGCTTTAGCTCTTACCCCAGAATCAGCGTTGATCTGCAGCGCGTATCTGTCATCGCCAGCGTTGGCGTACTCGAACAGCCCGTACTGCGGGTTGAAGTTCAACCCGTTGAACAGTTCCCTGCCCAGCAGATGGAGTCACTCGCGGGCCACGCCCCCTTAGTTTCACCCAGCCCCTTTTAGCAGAACTTGATCTAACGTGTCTACTAGGTAGAAATTTAGCTCTTACCCCTGAATCAGCATTGATCTGCAGCGCGTATCTGTCATCGCCAGCGTTGGCGTACTGGAACAGCCCGTACTGCGGGTTGAACAGCTCCCTGCCCAGCAGATGGAGCCACTCGCGGGCCACGCCCCCTTAATCTCACCCCTCCTCGCCGCGAAACTGTATCTGACGTCACTGCAAGCTAGAGATGTGACTTATGTCTTACCCCAGAATCAGCATTGATCTGCAGCGCGTATCTGTCATCGCCAGCGTTGGCGTACTGGAACAGCCCGTACTGCGGGTTGAACAGTTCCCTGCCCAGCAGATGGAGCCACTCGCGNTTTCTAAGTTACGTAAGTTTTAACTAAAAACTGTTAATATTCTATTTAACAGTTTATTGAGTTATCAGAAAAAAGTCATAAATGGTCGATAATTAAAATACTTTCTTTAATTTTTCATCTCAATGTGTTTTAAATTTTTAAGTGGGCAATAGCTATACGGTTTACCCTACCTTTAGAGACTTAAAAACTACCTATAGATTTTAATTTGTATACTTGTTTAAGTAGCTACTATTTTTGTAAAAGTTGTGGATCGAATTGAATAACTAAAACACTGGATACTTAGGCCGAGTTGCGCTATCTTACTTTAACCGTAACTATAACAGTAACCGATGTTTTTTGTATGAAGTTCGACAGATTTTTGACGTTTGTTGAAATTAAAGTAAGACGGTGTAACTCAGCATTACATTTTGATTTCTCTTAAATTAAAGAATACAATTTTAATTTAAAATTACAGGAGTGGCCTATGCATTTAGTGGGGTTTCTCTGATTAATACTTTAAACCATTTTAATAAACAACTACATATTTATCAACAAAGTCGCGGGCAAAAGCCAGTACAATTTGCGACACAGCAGACTGACGTGCTCGGTGATTGATCGATGATCGAGTTAGCCATTGTCCGAGTTACATCATATACGGTACAGTACATAACACGATATTGCTGTCCGCTCACCCTGTATAATCCGGGTTCATTAAAATTGATAACATGTCGCTGAAGAACGAAATATGAAGCTTTTAATCCTGTGACTTTGAAAATAACCTACGTAATAAGTTTTAGATTCTTAATAAGTAACCAACAAAGCAATTGCAATTTTTAAGCCGGTACAGTCAGTGTCCAATAGTTTTTGATACTCAAAGTGGCCAAAAAGTTGACAATACAACCTTATTCCAATTGTGACAAAGACGTATTGACAACTGTTTGGCTACTTTATTTAATACGTATTTGACGCTAACAGTACTTCATTATTTTGAAACCAATTAGTAGTTGATACCTATACGAGTAATAGGCTTAACATCATGTTAAATGAATTTTAAAATAAGGCAATGAGGTAAAATATGGAAAGTATAAAGAAAACAGAGCCGTATAAAGGGTAAAAATGCAAGAAAGTTAAAAAACTGTCGCGGCAAAACTACAGTAACAGAACACAAGATTTTTACATAAACAGAAAAGAAATCATAAATATTTATTGTTTTTCTTTCCAGCTCAACAGTACAGAATTGCATCGCGAAGTGCCACAGTGGATACGGGAGCAGTAGAGTCTCTCAAACAGGCATAAGGATCTGAAAACACTCAAATATTAGATTGAATACACAAAAATTAAGCTCGTCAAATATCTGGAGCTAAGACTCAAGCTGTCGAGTTCTCTCAGTCAAAGGTACCCACAAAAAAAACACCTTCCATCAGGTGAAACGCAGGGCAAAAGCATCCTGGTTGTAAAGCTTTTCCGTTGTGGTAAAAAAGACAACTTCGATAACTTTTTTTTTTTATTTTTTTTTATGCTAGACAAGGCAGGTATTTGACCGCAATCGCACCTGGTGTTAAGTGAGATGCAGTCTAGGACATTATTTTATGACAAAACCGATTGAAATCATAATTCATAATTAATTTTCGTCGGTTTTCAAGGAATTGTATAAATATATCATCCACTATGCGCAATATGCGCTAATGTAATTTTGTCTCATATTTACGAATCCAAGACAATAAGTGCCACTTTTGGTCTAAACTGAATAAATATTTTTGATTTTGATTTTGATTTTGAATAAAAACTCTTTAAAAAATGCTAACAAACTATCTTAATAAAAAAAACAATGAGTTTTTGTACCTGAGCTTTTCAGCTATCTAGGTACTTCAATCACCCATCAAACTGAGGGCTTAGTGTGTTTGATGTAAACTCACACTGAGCCCTCTATTACAGAGAACTCACTGTTATTTAACTCAACTGTGTCGCTGTAAACTTCTGAAGTTGCACAGCACAATCTAGGCTAACTCCAGACCAGGCTTATATCGCTTATTTTCTTTGGCCTCTGCAGCTGGACAAAGGGTCCACTGGAATATGGAACTACGGATGACACAATTTGTAGGTATAAACTTGAGTATTGGAAAATAAGTTTTGTACTTTAGGTACAGACGACACGGCACGTCAACGTAACCACTGCGGGTTCTTGTGCAGTTGTAATATGGGCGAGTTTGCAACAAAAATGGGCAGCCTGATGTGCTGTCGTGTGTACTCAAACACTAACATTTAGGACATAGGAAGAAGAAGAAATTGATGATCTAAGTCTTGCATTCTTTATCTAAGTAGATTACAGTTAACGGCAGTTGCAATTTCGGATTCAAGTCGCTGGAGACATTTGCAAAGATTTAGTATTTGTGTGATAAGCACTAAAATTTCAGAAGACAGAATTTTTACAATAAGTATAGGGTACATAAGTGTGAATTAGTCGGCCGTTTGGTGTAGTGGTTCAGAACGGACTACTATGCCGAGAGGTCCCGGGTTCGATTCCCGGCCGGGCAGAAATTGAAATGATGAATTTTAATTTCTGTGACGGGTCTGGGTGTGACTATGTATAATATGTATGTATTTAAAAAAAAAGTAGAACCATAGACTTGGCACGACTTTGTCTAGATTTCATTACTTTTTAGAGATAAACAAGCAGCTCCATCGAGACTTGGCTAGTTTTTTACAGAATGTTTTTGGTGGGATTTCACTTCTTTTTGTAGAACGTGGCAAAATTATTTTTAACGTCGTAGTTTTATCGACATTTTATTACGATATTAAACATAAATAAACTCAACGACCTTTAAAATGGACAACGAATCAGAATTGTTTTAATAACATAACCTTAGCGAACCTTACAATATAATAAACGAAATCAACGAAATGCAAATTACACAACATTCAACTTAATCGACGACTTTCTCTAGAAAGGAAAAAAATCTGGACACCGCTTGCTAGTGCTAGCGCCATCTAGCGGTGAGCGATACAGGCGAACACCACGGTGCCGGAGTAGTATTGATTATGAATGTGGTGTTACTCCAGATCTTCGATTTTCCTAGTTTTTATAGTTTTCCCTTTATGTGGCCATTAAACCCTAACTCTGTACCAAATTTCAGCTCTCTGAGTTTATGGGAAGTACTAGTTCTATTTTGATGATTATCAGTGAGTGAGTGTCGTAAATTCGAAACTTTGCTTTCGCTTAACTTCGGAACTAAATGACCCATAGACTTGAAATTTTGGATTTTAAGCATGTGATTATAGCTTACTAGATGACGAAAATTTCTGTGTTCTGGTCTAATCCAGATGTTCTCAAATAGGGGCCTGAAAATGCGGCGAAATGGTTCCAGTAAAGGATGGTACGGCAGTGTTTGCTTCGCGCTCGACTTGGCGGGGGCACTGCCGTGCCCCCAGATAGAACATATTGCAGTACCAATGAATCTTTTAAATCGCTCCTGTAAAAGTATAATTACTGTATACGACCGACTTTATTACAAGAAGTTGGTGACTGCTGACCCTACGGACTCTACTTAAGCTTCAACCACACCAGCGCGTGCAGATCGCCATCGCTGGCATGATCATAATATTATGCCAATGACAGGTCTCATTGGCATATGATCGCGCCGTGATCGCGACAGCGATGGCGATCTGCACGCGTTGTTGTGGTTGAAGCTTTATTGAAAGCTAATAAACAAGTGAAAAGCAATCTAAAGAAAAGAGGTAAAAAAACAAATGACTGTCGATCTTCATTAGGCAGGTCACTGACCTCTTATCCTGCAGTGGCCGGTCTGCGGCTGCAGCACGAGCAGCTCGGAGCGCAGCACGCGCGCCTCGGCGGCCAGGTCGCGCTTGTAATCAACTTGTATGGGAAATTGGTGACTGAAATCTATCACAGACCTTTCTCGAGGAAAGCTAACAAAAATAGAATGGCAACCTAAAGGAAAAAGTTAAAAAACAAAAGACTATAGTCTGGTCTGTGAGCACGTAGAATTTTGTCCAATGACCCCTAGCTACACATCCTTATCGCTCGCGCGTAATTATGTTGCTATCGCGCTCGCACACTCACTGCGGGTGCCAGTCGCACAGTCGCGACAGCAATATAATTACGCGCGAGTGATAAGGATGGGTAGCTAGGGGTCATTGGACAAAATTCTACGTGCTCAAAGACCAGGCTTTAACAATCTTCAGGGTCACTGACCTCAATATGCAGTGACCGGTCTGCGGCTGCAGCACGAGCAGCTCGGAGCGCAGCACGCGCGCCTTGGCGGCCAGGTCGCGCTTGTAATCAACTTGTACGGGAAATTGGTGACTGAAATCTATTACAGACCTAACTCGAAGAAAGCTAACAAACAAAAATAGACTGGCAACCTAAAGGAAAAAGTTAAAAAACAAACGACTATTGCTGTCGCGACTGTGCGACGGGCGCCCGCAGTGAGTGTGGGAGCGCGAGCGATAAGGATGGGTAGCTTGGGGTCATTGGACAAAATTCTACGTGCTCAAGGACCGGGCTTTATCAATCTTCAGGGTCACTGACCTCTATCCTGCAGTGTCCGGTCTGCGGCTGCAGCACGAGCAGCTCGGAGCGCAGCACGCGCGCCTTGGCGGCCAGGTCGTGCTTGTAATCATCTTGTATGGGAAATTGGTGACTGAAATCTATCACAGACCTTTCTCGAGGAAAGCTAACAAAAATAGACTGGCAACCTAAAGGAAAAAGTTACAAAACAAACGACTATTGCTGTCACGACTGTGCGACGGGCGCCCGCAGTGAGTGTGGGAGCGCGAGCGATAAGGATGGGTAGCTAGGGGTCATTGGACAAAATTCTACGTGCTCACGGACCGGGCTTTATCAATCTTCAGGGTCACTGACCTCTATCCTGCAGTGTCCGGTCTGCGGCTGCAGCACGAGCAGCTCGGAGCGCAGCACGCGCGCCTTGGCGGCCAGGTCGCGCTTGTACTTGGGCAGCGCGTCGTCCGCCGGCTCGCTGCTGGCCGGCGCGGCCGCGGGCGCCGGCGGCGGCGACGCGGCGGGGGGAGCAGGGTCGGGCGGCGGCTGTGAACAGAATATTCAATTTAATCATCAGCATCACAGAACAGATTTGCTCATAGTCTTGGGACTGATTGCAAATGAACACAGCAAAAAAAAAAATTTTTTTTGATTAATTATCTTTTTCAAAGCACTCCGTTCGTCAGAAAAATGTTTGCCATATTTTGCAATTTCCACGAGAGTTCGGACGAACATACCGAATGGTACTGAGTACAATTGGCGAAACTGAGTAAAGTTAGCTAGCATTAATTAGATTGAAGGTTATTTTGAAACAGCAATCATCACACATAGCCCGACGGATTAGCAAGCTGAAGTGGCAATGGGCAGAGAACATAGTACGCAGAACTGACGGCCGATGGGGCAGCAAGGTTCTGGAATGGAGGCCGCGTAGCCCGACGGATTAGCAGCGCAGTGACGCAGGTGGTGCGATTGTGGTCCTTATCACACCGTAATAAGACTCACCAGTCGCAGAGATAGCGCGAGACGCGGGTCAGTGAACTGCGTGGTGCGGTTGTTGTGGTCCACGAAGTAGGGCCGGCCGGAGGGCGCGTGGCGCATCTCCCAGCCCGGCGGCGGCGCAGTGACGCAGGTGGTGCGATTGTGATCCTTAACACACTGTACATAAGACTCACCAGTCGCAAAGACAGCGCGAGGCGCGGGTCAGTGAACTGCGTGGTGCGGTTGTTGTGGTCCACGAAGTAGGGCCGGCCGGAGGGCGCGTGGCGCATCTCCCAGCCTGGCGGCAACGCAAGTATTGCGATTGTGGTCCTTATCACACCGTAATAAGACTCACCAGTCGCTGAGACAGCGCGAGGCGCGGGTCAGTGAACTGCGTGGTGCGGTTGTTGTGGTCCACGAAGTAGGGCCGGCCGGAGGGCGCGTGGCGCATCTCCCAGCCTGGCGGCAACGCAAGTATTGCGATTGTGGTCCTTAGGGGGCGTCCATTAATTACGTGAGGCTTTTAGGGGGGGGAGGGGGTCAACAAAAACCTCACCAAATCTCACGTGGGGGAGAGGGGGGGTCTCGGGAAATATCACGTATTTTTTTCCACAAGAAATAGAGTTTGACAGAAAACTGGGTTAAATCTTAAGTAAAAAAATTGGCCAAGTGCGTGTCGTGCCACGCGCAGTGTAGGGTTCCTTAGTTGTCCGTCGTTATCACAATATATTTCAGAAGTAAGCAATTACTTCATCTAAAGTCACTTTTAATATTTTCTTCTAAGGAATTTTTATTGGGTATGAAATTTTATAATACATGAGTAAAACGACTATTACTCTTGAACTAACTGATCTATCTTAACCGCTATAGTTTTCCTTGAAAGTTCATAAAAAGCACTATAATCTTGAATTTGCACTCGTTAGCGACTACGTTAAAGCACAAAAAAAAAATGATTCTCAGTTATATTACTCCAAAACTATAAAATTTCGGATTTTTTTTAATATCACGTGAGATTTGGGGGTGGGGGAGGGGGTCAGGCAAAATCTCACCAAATCTCACCAAGGGGGGCGGGGGGGTTGAAAAATAGCCAAAATTGTCTCACGTAATTTATGGACGCCCCCTAACGTGTGTGTGGACACAATACATCGTCATAACAACATGCTTACATATTTTCAAGAACTGCTTCGTTTTTGTACACCCACTCGTTTTGATCACTAGCATCCTGCATCACTCTAGTAAAGCAAAGCTGAGGCAACATTTTAATAACAAGTTTGAGTGGACAAGTACCGAATAATACCGGACGGCAGCGCACGCGCACAAAGACTCGTCAATTCTGGCGCGCACGTGGTACCTACCTACACTGTGTTTTTTCCTTTTGTGCTATTCACTAACGGCAAAATCATTGCTTGACAAAGTCCTTTCATGTAATAAATAAATCTGCTTGAATAGGCAAAAAATATTCGGTTCATGTTGCACTTTAAGCTTCAAATTTTAAATACGGCCCACTGGTATCTAATAAAAATACCGATAATTCGAGTATTATACTTTATAGTTTAAAACATATGTAACTGCTCAAGGTCACCCAAAGGGCGATGGAGCGGGCTATGCTCGGAGTTTCCTTGCGTGATCGAATCAGAAACGAGGAGATCCGTAGGAGAACCAAAGTAACCGACATAGCTCGCAGAATTGGTAAAATCAAGTGGCAGTGGGCGGGGCACATAGCTCGTAGAGACGATGGCCGTTGGGGCAGGAAAGTTCTCGAGTGGCGACCAGGGGCTGGAAAACGTAGCGTGGGCAGGCCTCCTACTAGGTGGACCGACGATCTGGTAAAGGTCGCGGGAAGAGCCTGGATGCGGGCAGCGCAGGACCGTTCATTGTGGAAAACCTTGGGGGAGGCCTTTGTCCAGCAGTGGACGTCATTTGGCTGAAACGATATGTAACTGCGGGTAAAGGTACCTAAAATCGTCCTGTCGAAAAATATTCAAAACTGCTAGTGCTAGCAAGTAACCCTTTTGATGCGGACAATCTGCGCCGAGAACTGACTTCCCATATCTTGTTCCATTTAAAATTTTCAACTGCGCCCAAGATGTTTTTTTTTTAATAGTGTTTATTATTTCGCAGATGGCGCTGGTAGAGGAGACAGGCGCGGGCGCCGCCGCCGACGACCCCGAGGCGTTGCTCAATGAGTGGCTCGGCGAGCTAACCGTGCTCACTGCGGTAACCGATCATTATTCTCTTTAATTTTCAACACCACAGGAACAAATGATGACATGCAACTCGTGCGTGCAGGATCTACAATGACTTCATCATTAAAACCAGGTTATTACTTTTTGAAAAAGGTTCTGCAGAAAATGGAATAAAAGCTTCGAAGGCTGCTACTGCTTGTAGTGTGTACGTAATTATTGTACCACTTTTACATTCTGTTTGTACCTATTATAGGTATCAAAAGCACATTCATTCCAAAATCGTTGATTAAAACGAATTGAAATATTTCGACATATCCATCTTTATCTTACAAGTTTACAACTTAGCCAGTCTTACATGATAAAAATTGTTTAAAATTTTGATCGAGGCAATTTTTTCATTTGAGAATAGGTATTCAGCTAGGTAAAATTTACAAAACACCATATTTTTGTTTCCAAAAGAAAAATGGTGTAGCAAGCACAGGTGTGGAAAACATTGGCTGCATTTCCTCGCTAGGTAGGTACACTAAAATTAGGTTAGTACACTAACGTCAATTTACCGACACGTCTCAAAAATCAGGTTAAAGCCCATGGACACGTGCAGCCTCTTAAAAAAAGTAAACAACGTACATGTCCATGTCTCCTAAAGCGATTTTTGTAAATTCTGGTCTCTACCAACATGTCGCAGGAAGCGCAAGCGATAACTTTATTAAATCCTTGTACCGTCACCAGCACTTCAAATTTTTTGTAGCATCGTCACAGTATGTGCACGAATATTGCAAGTAAGAAGACGAATAAGTACAAATATGTGGAAAAAATAAATAACCTAATCGTTAAATGGATCAAAAGCTATCTAGCGGACGTCTTTTATTTCGCTTGCCCAAAATTCAATAATCTCACGTTATAATATTTCTGTAAAGCTACATTACCTACTGTAAAATATCATTAAAATCCGATGATCAGTTTTTCAGGAATTGGAAACAATATTAGGCATCAGCTGGAACCCACGAGTCCCACGACCATGACACATGTTACTATAGGATCTTGGATATTATTTACTATAGTTTTATATTACCTGTACGTTCCCTGGGTACACTTTCATCTATTTGCACGTAATTTTTGATGTCGTGTAATTAATTAAACGACCTGTTCTTTGTTAAAGCTATTGTGTTAACTGCGGTACGTCGGTTGAAAAATGCCCCGAACGTAGACGGGAAATTGGCAGTGACACGGGCGTTCGACTGGTTAAATAGATTTTGCCTTTGTGCAAGCAAAAAGCACATTTTCAATTCCAGGTACACAATTTAATTTTGCGTTTCAACCATCTCTCTCACGATTCGTATACATTTTCGCAAAATTCAAGTTTAAAATGCACTGCGCTTCTTAAGAGAAATTCTGAAATATGAAACACTTTAAGTATACATTGTGTATTTAACAACTATTTTGAAATGTTGCAAATGCAAAAAAAATATATGGGTACGATTTTTTTTATTAATTACAAAACTCTACATTACAAACAAAAACTTATTTGGAAGAAGCACTCAACCGATAGTGACAGAAAATAGTAGGTACTTGGCAAGCGCTATCAAACAATGTCTGGACATCTAAAGGATCCTGAAAACGACCTTTTGAACTCGCCTCTACTAACAAGATCCAGGAAATACCTAGTAGTGGTCTTATAATTTCGCATTATTACATTTTAGTCGAGTGTACGAGTAGATGTCAAAGATTTACGAAGCATCCATACATAAGAGGAATAAATTAATAATGATAACAAAGGATAATTAGACAGTAAAATAATAATACTCAATAGCCCGTAAAAGTAAAACCGAAGCCAGCTAATAGAAGCGTTATTAATTAACGGCACCTGGCCGAAGCCGCAAGCGAGGAACCGTACACCACTAAACATGATATCCTCGTAAATTGAATAAATAAAAAGAATTGAAAGTAGCTTCATATTATCTCGATGTAAATCGAGCGTAAAAGTTTAAAATACATTTTCGAGCGGAAAAATGTTCGTACATTTAGGCGTCGTTTGTTTTAATATTATAACAAAAACAGCAAAATATTTGTTCCTGTCGATCACCGCAGACCGGGTCGGGTCACACCGCTTGTTGGCGTCCACCTCTCTATCGTGGCCAAATGACGCGAACAGGTGACAACCCTTTACACACTTCGTCGCTTGCCTCTCTAACTGACGTAACTGACATTTAGCAAAATTTTAAGGCGATTAGACAGATCGATTCGTCTTTCGAAATTGATTAAGATGGTGTAGATAACTCAGTTTCGAAAAAAATGTCAGATACGTCAGTTAGAGAGGCATGCGATGACTTGTGGGCTATGAAAAACTAAATTCGACATTACTAACGACAATGCACTTTAGTCTTGTAATAAAAAAATACTTCGATAACAAAAGAAAACCAAGGCAACAGTAATAATAATAAAAAGTAATGTTGTATTTTTAAAAATCATGTAGCAAAAATAAAAAACCATCGCTACTGGTATGCGGTTGGAATCTGCGGTGGACTTCGAAACACATTAACTTAACTTTGTTTTCAAAAATACATAATTATCACAGTTTTTGTATGTCAATCAAGACCTTGTCAGCTCGATATTTTAAAACCGGGTCCCTAAAAAGGGAAGATTGATGCTGGATCACGTACAAAATCGAACACGTGTTGAGCGCAGCCGGCGCGACAGGTGCGCGGGCGCATATGCGCTGTCCCGGTCATGATTTTGCGTAGCGTATATTATTATTTATTTAAGAAGCCACTTCTTAAAACTTTGGTTGAAATGAGGAGCTTCCAATACAAGGTTTACTTTAGTTTGTAATTATACTTAAAATAATTATGGACTTCTCAGAATTTATTCATTGTCTGTTGCTGTTGCTACAACAGGTGTGTCTTTTTAAAAAAAAAACCTTTTATTTTATTCATACAGCTTTTATTAAATCGGCCTCGAAAATTGTCTTTTGTCACACCACGACAGTTTGTCATCCCAATTTGAAAAAGGCAAGATGCCTAATTACTACTTCAGTATCAATGCATTTACCTACATTTTGTACGAAATCAATTAAAATATGTTCATAAGGTAACAAAGTTACCCAACGGTAAGCTAAAGAAACAAAACATCTCGTAGATCCATTGAAAAAGGTTTTTGAACTTGTAGTCGCAAAGCTTTGTCCAATTTGGCGAGTAGNCGCGGGCCACGCCCCTTAGTTTCGCCCCGCCCCTTTTTACACAACTTTCTCTAGCGTGTCTACTAGGTAGAAAATGCTTCAGCTCTTACCCCTGAATCAGCGTTGATCTGCAGCGCGTATCTGTCATCGCCAGCGTTCGCGTACTGGAACAGCCCGTACTGCGGGTTGAACAGTTCCCTGCCCAGCAGATGGAGCCACTCGCGCGCCACGCCGCCGTAGTCGAGCCCCTCCTCGCCGCGGAACTATCTGACGTCACTACAAGCTAGAGATGTGACTCTCTTACCCCAGAATCGGCGTTGATCTGCAGCGCGTATCTGTCATCGCCAGCGTTGGCGTACTGGAACAGCCCGTACTGCGGGTTGAACAGCTCCCTGCCCAGCAGATGGAGCCACTCGCGCGCCACGCCGCCGTAGTCGAGCCCCTCCTCGCCGCGAAACTTCTGACGTCACTACAAGCTAGAGACGTGACTTATCTCTTACCCCAGAATCAGCGTTGATCTGCAGCGCGTATCTGTCATCGCCAGCGTTGGCGTACTGGAACAGCCCGTACTGCGGGTTGAACAGTTCCCTGCCCAGCAGATGGAGCCACTCGCGCGCCACGCCGCCGTAGTCGAGCCCCTCCTCGCCGCGGAAGGGTATTTCGCCAAAAATGGTCAATTTTGCCTAATTTCCTTGGTACGAAATATTTTTTTGTTTTTAACTATTTTTAGTTTCCCATTGCATTAAGTAGCAAAAACTAAGCTAATATATCTAAAAGGGGTGTCATAATTCGTTTTAGAAACAAAGTTATAAGGTCATGAATTTTTGGTAGCCAAGGAAATTATTATAAATATTTTTTTCTCTTTATTTTTCTTCTGTGGTTTTCTTTTTTTTGGTTCGACCCATTTTGTGTACCTTCGCAAACAAACATACCAATGAATACTGTATCATTACGACCTTATTACACAACTAAGAAAGATAAATGCAGTAGATTGAGTTAAGAGTTAAAAACAAGTTGTTCTATATCTTTTCTGATACCATTTCTTAAAATGTAAATTTTAAACTTATTCCAATAAAGAAATATTCAAAATTTGACTTTACGCCGAATTAAAAATGGTATTTTATAATTTCCTAGGCCATTTTATGCCACGGAAAACAAGGAAATTAGGGCCAAAGAAATTAGATTTATGCCTAAAAGACACCACAGACAAAAACCTATTTACCCTATGCATTTACTATTTAAATCATGGGTTTACCCCTACAGACACTACATCTGTGTAAATAAACAATAAAATTAATCCATTGTTTAGCTGCAAAAAACCGTCCAAAGAAATTGACTTTTTAGTAAACAAAAACCCAAGGAGGGACCTACTTAAGCGATTTATCGCGAAACTGATCAACGAAGTACTGTCCTGCCTCGATGGCCTCTTGGGACGAAATGGCCGAGTGTAACGGTGCAGTGCATTACATTCTAAGTTCTTTCGTTTTGTTACTAGGTACAATGGTCGAAAAGAAGACCCAGGGAAATTATACTTTTGACTCGGACAAGAACTTAACTTCACTTTATTTCCTTCCTTTAAGTATTTTACATTTAAAGTTTTTATTTTCCGATAGCCAAACGTTTCTCAAATATAAAGAGAGTGCTATTAGAATGAAATTACGCTTCAATTTGTTATAATGTGCCTTCATTTTGGCAAACAACAGTAATGGACATAACAAGGAAATTAGAAAAACGACTTTTGATTAAGTTTTTCTACGGTATTATTTGTAGTTTCTGCTATTGTAATAGCAAAAACAAATAAAACTTTTGATAAACTTTCCCATAAAAATAGTTTTATACATATAGATATAAAAAAACATGTGTTCGCCTGCCTGGACACAGAAAATTTACTGTTTCGGCGAAATACAACACAGATGTAATCAAAAAACACACTGGACAGTAAAACAATCAATGATATCCGTAAAGTTATTAAACTTCAAATAGTTGCAAAATTCTTTTATTTTATTTAATTATGTAGGAAAATAAGCAATGGAACAATACGTAAGCATAATTGCATAAAAAAGTTAAATAATTTTGTTTAAATAAAACCGACTAAAAATTAAACTGACTCCGAAAAAGTATACACTAAAAGTCGAAAAATAATTTTACGNTGAATTTGCACTCGTTAGCGACTACGTTAAAGCACAAAAAAAAAAATGATTCTCAGTTATATTACTCCAAAACTATAAAATTTCGGATTTTTTTTAATATCACGTGAGATTTGGGGGTGGGGGAGGGGGTCAGGCAAAATCTCACCAAATCTCACCAAGGGGGGCGGGGGGGTTGAAAAATAGCCAAAATTGTCTCACGTAATTTATGGACGCCCCCTTATCACACCGTAATAAGACTCACCAGTCGCAGAGACAGCGCGAGGCGCGGGTCAGTGAACTGCGTGGTGCGGTTGTTGTGGTCCACGAAGTAGGGCCGGCCGGAGGGCGCGTGGCGCATCTCTCAGCCCGGCGGCGGCGCAGATGTTGCGATTGTGATCCTTAACACACTGTACATAAGACTCACCAGTCGCAGAGACAGTGCGAGGCGCGGGTCAGTGAACTGCGTGGTGCGGTTGTTGTGGTCCACGAAGTAGGGCCGGCCGGAGGGCGCGTGGCGCATCTCTCAGCCCGGCGGCGCGCAGGTGTTGCGATTATGATCCTTAACACACTGTACATAAGACTCACCAGCCGCAGAGACAGTGCGAGGCGCGGGTCAGTGAACTGCGTGGTGCGGTTGTTGTGGTCCACAAAGTAGGGCCGGCCGGAGGGCGCGTGGCGCATCTCCCAGCCTGGCGGCAACGCAAGTATTGCGATTGTGGTCCTTATCACACCGTAATAAGACTCACCAGTCGCAGAGATAGCGCGAGACGCGGGTCAGTGAACTGCGTGGTGCGGTTGTTGTGGTCCACTAAGTAGGGCCGGCCGGAGGGCGCGTGGCGCATCTCCCAGCCCGGCGGCAGCGCAAGTGTTGCGATTATGATCCTTATCACACCGCACATAAGACTCACCAGCCGCAGAGACAGCGCGAGGCGCGGGTCAGTGAACTGCGTGGTGCGGTTGTTGTGGTCCACGAAGTAGGGCCGGCCGGAGGGCGCGTGGCGCATCTCCCAGCCTGGCGGCAACGCAAGTATTGCGATTGTGGTCCTTATCACACCGTAATAAAACTCACCAGTCGCAGAGACAGCGCGAGGCGCGGGTCAGTGAACTGCGTGGTGCGGTTGTTGTGGTCCACGAAGTAGGGCCGGCCGGAGGGCGCGTGGCGCATCTCCCAGCCGGGTGGCAGCGGGCCGGCGGCGGCGGCGCAGTGACGCAAATGTTGTGGAACGCGTGGGTCGTGCCAAGTCGATGCGCCCGTCACGCGGTTGTAGAAGTATACTTGGCCTTGCGCGGTCGTGCGCATTTCTGGAATAAGGGAAAGCCCAACTTTATACACAAGCAATTTATTTAAACGACTCACCAACAGTTTTAGGAATACAATTATTATCGGCAGGTAATTTTGGCGGTCGTGCGACGCAGTTCAGAGACACCAATTACTGAGCGGTTTCTAGGTTGTTACATTCATCAGCGTCGAGATAGTTACCACGAGTTTACGGTTTGACCAATGAGAACTGTCAGCAAATCCTCAGTGGCGTCGGCGGAGATAACAAACGTAACACCCGGGCATGCCCCGTTGCAATGTAAATAATATACGAAAGTATCTTATCTATAAAAACTAAACGATTGATTGTAAGATTGTGAAGGGATCAAGAATTTGAATATTATTGAAACAAAACCATTTAGATTCTTTGTTTTCAGTATTGGAGTCATTAGACAAGTCTGTCCATAATTATATGCAAACTTGAGATTAGGCGGAAATGTCGTTTCAATGACAAGTAATGTACAAAATTACGATGATTTTGAATCATCAATATGCAATCGCCAAAATAAACTCAAGGCTGTCTGATAGAATCTTGTTTACACAGATATTTTTACTGACCTGATTTTGTGATTGTAATCTTATCAATAACAGTACTATACGGAATTAGTTTTAATGTATTCCAAAACCTCACTATGATACTATCGATTGATGAAAGTGAAGATACAACGGATTTATTTTGAAATATCATGTTTGATACAAGATTAAATTTACATTTTGATTGAATATCATTTATTTGAAGGCGTGGTTAAGCAGGTTTTTGGTTATTTGATTTACATAAATTACTATTTTGGAAGTTAATCTGATGATTTTGAAAGTCAAATCTAATCTTAAGAGCGTTTACGCCGTTTGGCGCAAAAACAGTACTTTTTCAACTCGTTACAATCATTAACCAGTAATATTACAAATATGTTATAGGCATAAATAGTTAGGCAATTTCGTCGTCTAAATAGTTAATTGAGAAAATATTGTGATTAGTTTAGTATTTAAGAATTCTATCAAGATAAGTCCACACAGGTTTTGTAAATTTCCACTTTAGCGTCAGTTTACAAGCTGAAATTTGTATAAAAATACTGTGAAAACGATTTAACAAACATTTATATCCAATAGCATAGATCCTTGGGCAAATAGTTATCTGAGAAAATTTTTAGATTTAAGCATTTTACAAATACAGTCTAATTTTTTAGAAATCAGCAGAAATGTCATCAAAAATGGCCAACTGACATAAAAATATTTTTAGTCTGTGAACTAGTGATGCGACAAAACCTCTCGTTAATCGCGAAGTGAAATTATTGTAGTACTTGCGTATCATCGCCGGGTGATCGTCAAAATACTAAAAATATGCAACAAAGTCGCAACATTGAATGTGAACTGATTATGAAAGTTTCGAGAACAGGAAACAAACTGTATACGGGTATTTCGCCAAAAATGGTCAATTTTGCCTAATTTCCTTGGTACGAAATATTTTTTTGTTTTTAACTATTTTTAGTTTCCCATTGCATTAAGTAGCAAAAACTAAGCTAATATATCTAAAAGGGGTGTCATAATTCGTTTTAGAAACAAAGTTATAAGGTCATGAATTTTTGGTAGCCAAGGAAATTATTATAAATATTTTTTTCTCTTTATTTTTCTTCTGTGGTTTTCTTTTTTTTGGTTCGACCCATTTTGTGTACCTTCGCAAACAAACATACCAATGAATACTGTATCATTACGACCTTATTACACAACTAAGAAAGATAAATGCAGTAGATTGAGTTAAGAGTTAAAAACAAGTTGTTCTATATCTTTTCTGATACCATTTCTTAAAATGTAAATTTTAAACTTATTCCAATAAAGAAATATTCAAAATTTGACTTTACGCCGAATTAAAAATGGTATTTTATAATTTCCTAGGCCATTTTATGCCACGGAAAACAAGGAAATTAGGGCCAAAGAAATTAGATTTATGCCTAAAAGACACCACAGACAAAAACCTATTTACCCTATGCATTTACTATTTAAATCATGGGTTTACCCCTACAGACACTACATCTGTGTAAATAAACAATAAAATTAATCCATTGTATTATGGAGTCGGTGTTGGAAGATTTGAAGATTTTATAGTTTCCTTGGGCTGTCACTTGACAGCCTGGCACACTTTTACGATGGTGGATCAAAGTATTTTGGTTTGACTATAGAGCGTGAGAATACGCACACAGTCATAATTATTTAAGTGTGAATAAAAATAGCATCGAAATTACCTAAACTTGACATGCCACGCTAGACGTAAACGCTCTTAAACAGAACAAAACTAAAAACAGAGCAGGTCATGTCGTAAGGTATAAAATATGTGAGATACATACATATTTCCATTTGATAAAGGAGGTAAGCATTTGTACAGGAGTCTCATTGAATGCCATAGGTTCGTCTTTTGTACAGTCAACACATCAAGAAGCTCAAGACTGTAGCATCTTAACACGCTGCTATTTTGGGTCAAAAATTTATAGTCTTCTGCACTGTCGATTGAACTTTATTTTATGCGTAATAAAGTCTTAAATACATAAATGATAAACAGTTACCATAGCCGGGGGGCAGATCGGTTGCCGCTACGGAGGTGGTAGGCGCCGGGGCGTTGGTGGGACTCCCCGGGTCCGCCGTGTTCACCTGCCGCGAACGCACCGCCGTCTGGGGTTGCGGCTCCGGTCTGCGGGGAATACGGGCTTTGTTAGTCTACTGGTTAACAATCTTCATCAGGTCATAAAAATAGATTAATTGAAAAATGTAAGTAATTCAGTTAGTAGGTGACAAATTAAAGGGTTTAATCAGAGACGAACATTAATTAGTAATAATGAAATAGGTAGTGTTAATTGTACTACATCGGGGTTTGATATCATTAAAAATAATAGAAATAATTATAACACACATCACATTAAAATTGTCTACATTCCTGTTTTTAATTTGACTTGATATTGTTACTTTCGAAATACCAATAGTTATCAACTTATCACTGACTGAAATACAGTTTTGCTAATCAGAATCATTTCAAATATCGGCCCAAATGTCAGTTTACTTGTTCAAATTAAAAACTGAATTATAATTTGATATCTTCTGATCAATTTCATTATGGGTCTACAAACAGTAGAACATTCCCCAAGTCTACCTCAACTCAACTTTCCTGAGTAGGTTTTTATTGCCAACCATGCTGATCTCTAGCAGTTGTTTCAGGAGTTGCAGCATAGACTGGGACAAGAGGTAGAAATTGCCAAGTAACAAAACCTCGCATCTTCACTCACCTTAACGATATGGAAGTGGAGACATTGACATCGGTGTCCGACACAGGTGACGAGGGTGACGCAGGCGACAGGGTGGTGGCAGGCGACGCGACGCCGGGTGGCGAAGGCGACGATGGTGGCGACGTGGTCGGCGGAGACCCGGGACTTGCCGCCTCTAGCGCCGGCCGCTCCCATTGCGTACGGCGGAGCGCGTGGTTTACGTAGTATGGCCTAGAAATAATGTAGGTGTTTTAACGCTCACCAGTAGACGTCACTATTTCATAAAAAAGAAACATAAAATTACAGAGCATATTTATACGTCCCAACCTAATAATGCTTCGTGACTATAATGCCATATTAAATATTTTATGGGCCAGTACTGAAAAGTAACAGCGCCAGAAATTCAGTTTCTAATTCTATTGTATGATACACTGTAGTATTATTTTCAGTGGCTAAGACGGTGGCAACTACTGGTAAGTGCCAAAGGGATAGGAGGACTATAGCATTTGCACTCACTAGGATGACACCACTGCCTGTAAAGTAAGGTCAGTTCATTCGCTAGTGTTCCCAAGTAGTGAGCACTAATAGGGATAATTATATTAATTTAGCGGATTGCATATGTTAAGCTACCATCAGTCGTAGCACTAATTCTTGACGACTGATAGCAGATAGCGTCGTCACTCGCAAGAGAGGACCATATAGCCTGTTGGCATACAAAGTGCATTAGATATGCTTGTATGCTTTCATATCGTGTGTGCCATAACTAATGTAGACAAAACGACTGAAAAGCAGTACTTCGAAGTTTTCAGTTTTTGTTGTCATATTATTCTAACTAAATACTATTTACATATTTTCCCAAAGGCCCCAGAAAGGGGTTTTTTCCTAGTAGATCATACAATGCCTCATTGTCATCATTGATGTCATACATGATTAATCAAATACATTTTATTATCCTGCATCCTGCTTATGTTGATTGTGGTATGTAGGGAAAGTTTGACAAAAAATACAAGGGAAAACCGATTACTAACACATAATAAACTAGTATGTCTAAGCAATTACCAATAATATTTAATTAAGTTTTCTGAATAACAGTCACTAAATTAATTAACAAATAAAATTACTGATATCAATATCAATATATCAATTTGCCAAAGAAAACAGGAAAGTCCATATTAGTTAACATAAAAAAGTGTGTTCATTACATAATATTTACCCACCATTATCAACATTCACATCTGAATGAATTCAAGTGAAAGGCTCACTTTGCAGAGTCAAATAGTTAATTGTTTTGTTTGTTTACTTCCTTTTATGTAACGATTCTCAAATAATTATAGTATGTCAACTTTTCAAATGGCTTTGTCAAAATCTATTTAAACTTTATTTACAGTATTATATCAATCAATATCTGATTGGCAAATAGAATTTTTTCCATAATCATCATCATTTCAACCATAGGATGTCCACTGGGAACATAGGCCTCCCCCAATGACTTCCACATCTTCACACTTCCAAGGTGAATCGACAATCTGATAAAGGTACCAACCGCTAGGCCGCTACCAACCGTGCGATTTTTGCAATACTACAACTAATAAACTAAGATTTTTCTACTCTGATAATATAAGTACTTAGTATTACCTGCCACTTGCAGTGAACCGCTCTTCCCAATGCGGCGGCAGCGGCGTCTGGTTCGCGTTGGTGTTGACGGGCGGGTCACGTGGCGACCTCACGTCTCCCGCGGGCCCCACCACGGCTAGGGGAGATCCCTCGCCCGCGGCGGAAGCCGGCTCCCCTCGCGCGCCGTCGCGGGACAGCAAGGACACTATGACCTGGCCGCGGACACCGCAGGTTTCCCCAGACCCGTCCTCGCACAGCTCCAAACATTGATCTGGGTGTAAGAAATCGGACTATGAAACAAAAGCACATCAGATTGTTAAAATATAACTTAGCTTGATGTGCTGTCCATAGACATTTGGTATTTCATAATTTTTTACAATAAAAGCTTGAGTGATAATTTCTTATTATTATTTGAGACAATAAACACTCCAGGATTTAGAATGAAATTTTTGTGGCATATTAATTATTCAACTGTTGTATAAAATAATAATAAATCATCTCATCTATCATCTCTACCTATGGCAACTGAAAATACTATAATTTCTGAAAGTAAATGTTGCATGATTGAAGACAATAAATGCCAATCTGGCAATGTGAAATCAGGTAATAGTGGTGTGCAAAGAAATTGAATTTCAAATAGAAATCATGATAGTTATAAATTCATCATGCTCCTTTTTTTCTAAACTTTAATATGCATTAGTGTATGTATTGATTTATATATTAACATAACAAAAAATAATATTTAGAAAGTTACATTTATGGAAAACAAGATAATATTATGTACAGACTTTCTCGTAATATGTCACTACATATGCTATCATTTAATAAACAAAGGCTTCAAAATACCTAAATGAGTGTTTTTTTGTTGTTTTGATTGGTGTTTACTTACATCCCGTGTCTTTCAATTTGTGCACTGTGGAAGGTTGTATTCGAACACATCCTAAGAATCCGGATCCTTGTCTTTTATGCACTTTTCGTTGATTCCAAACACTAAAATGAAAAATTTTATAAAACACAACATAAAACATCTGTTTCCAATGAAACATTAACATGATAGAGCATTATTCCTCAGAATAACAAAACTAGCATTAGTCTTATGTCAGTCAGTCAATGGCAGTTCTGACTACAGCTGATACAAACCACAGGACAGAAGAAGAAATCAATCTTTCATTAAATGTTAATAGTATTATAATATTTTGTGGGTATACCTGATCGTAATACCATCTCCTTTAGTGAGATATAAATCGTAATGTGTATTCCATTTTGGATCAAGTGTAGCTTTCACAGCATTTGTTGAATACACTTGTCCACTACCATCCACTGATATTTTGGCGAAAGGATCTGGCAAACCTGGAAAGTAAGCCTAATTTTAACACTTAACTCAAACTAAATTTTGTAAACAGAACATGTGATAGTAGTCTAAATAAATCAGTTAGAAAACTAGTTCCTTTAAAAGTATTGCTGTGAGAGATACAATTACCATTAATTTAAGATTGAAGAATAATTGGGAATGTGCTACAATACAACTTGCAAGTGAAAAATTCTAGACGAAAAAACCTTGAACATATTTCAGGAGTAAAACAACAAAGAAATGAAAATGGACTTACGAAAAAGATCCCTTCGGACCAAGTTTCTTGCACACAGAACTAAAAAGAAAGGATAAAGTGCATTTTAATAACATGGAATGTGTAAATTGTGAAAAGCAAAATATTCACATAATTCCAGGAAGACTTCAGGAAGATTTACTCACTTGTGAGTCGAACTTTTTGTGCTCCATATTTGCGATTCGACACAGGAGTCGACATTATAATATATTTTTCATCGAAACATCACAGAAACCTTTTAATTTCATAAAAATGTACATTCCTACTGCGCAAACTTCAGATTCAGACCACCATCTTTATTTTCTTTCTCTTTCATTCATTCATTCATTCATAACTAACCACAGACAAAATGGTACTCATCACTCATTCATTCAAAATAAAAGACATTACAAAACAAAGATGGAGTAGGCTTAGGACTTGTGGGATGTGTAATAATGGTGTAATATGAATGATTTAATACGATCTATTACGACTACAATACGTTCGCAATACGACATTAGGAAATTCCTTCAACGTTTTCGTTGGAGTCTTTTGTATCTTTTGGCGGTGCTTAGAAAAGAGCATCTTGTTAAAAAATAGTTGTTCAGGCTAAAAACGAAAAAGAACTTGTCGGACTGCTAGTAGGTAACAAGTGCTAATCTATAGGAATATATATTATCTTCGATACAAAATCAGACATAGTGTTGCAGAACCATCGATGCTTTCACTATCGATAAGTATCTAAATTGTCTGAAAAATATTCAGCCCCCCTCGACAAATGGCAAAACATGATAGTTGTAGTTTCTAAAGACTTTTATTTTGAAGATATTTGTAAAGATTTACTTCTCTACATAAAGGGATTCGATTTCCGGAGCGATCAAAAAGTACCACGATATGTCTAGGAGGGCAGGACATCGATGGTATCGCTATAAATTTACAGAAGTAGGTATTTGTTTTGGTTAATATTTTTTAAACCACAATGTTTTGATAGTAATGCTCAATATGCCATATTGATACTATTGCACAATGATAGTATCGATAGCATCTCATTTTTACCTTTCGATAAACAACACTAATCAGCAGTTTATCAGTGCACTGACAAAACATTTACCAAGTTTTACAAATAAAGTTAAATAAGATAACACCAAGGAACGCAAAGCAAACTGCATGTTTGCTCTATAATTGGAAAAGAGAATTGGTTTAAATTCTTTAGTAAAATTGTCGCCTTGAAAAATATAGATCTGTGGAAATTATTTAGCATTTTCGTAGGTGAGTCTAGTATGCATTTTAAGGTTTATCTTAATACACAATAAGTAATAATGCCAAGTTTATTATTATTATGGGTCATGGAAACATAACTATAATATTGCTAAGTATAAAAATAAAAAGCTATAATCCCAAAGTTTTTAAAGTGGAAGTTTTAGAGTAGGCGCACACCGTTGATTTTTCGTCGGCCGATAGTTGGACCCATTTATGCAAACAAGAACCAACCCACAGCAGGGTGGTTTCGAGAAAACGAGACTTTTGTAAACAGATGTTGCAAAATGCGTACATAATATATTAATGAATGATTACTTGTTAATCTTATGTGGGATACTGCAGCCTATCTAGGAATATCAGATTTATAAATTTTATTAAGTTATAATATAAAGTAAATCGATAAAAACCGGTTGGTTCTTTCTTGCAAAAACATATTTTGTTGCTTAGTTCTTTCTTGCAAAACGGATGTAAGATTTCTTGTTGTGATATTTCTAAAAATTAAAGTCATTCTATATAAAATATAGTTTTTAATGCCATTTATTAGATAGTAAATCATTATCTTTCATTTAATACGAAAATTATACGATGGAATCACGAACCCTTAAAACTAAAATCACTATTATTATCGTCTTCTACCTCAAAATCGTTAGGGCCGGTAAAACCGTCAATATCGTCTTCTATGTTGCTACTTTTCAGGGTTTTTTAGAAATCGTGTGTGTCGTTTTGGTATAAGATGCAGAATAATTGTAACATTCTGTTAGTTTAGCCTCAGATAATAGCTTTTCCTGTAGGCTAAAGGAAGTACATATCACTTTTGGTTATCACGGCCCTGCTTCTGATATTTTTCTGTACATTAACTTCTTTGTGCCGTGTGGGGACGGCCATAAATAATAGGTACTCTTCCCCACCGCCAACAGGAGTCGTGTCGTAAGAGGCGACAAAAAGCCCTGCAGTGCCGGACAGGCAGCAGCGTCTGCGTGCGAAACGTTAAAAAAACACTTCCCCCCCTCTATATGGTTGGGCCCAGTCCCAGGCGGCCCCCCTATCCCGGGGGGTGGTAAGAATCACCGGATAATGCCAGGCTACCAACTCCGACGACCTCTGGCTAATCTTTAACACTCGCACACTGTGGACTGACATGAGGCTCGCCGAACTCGAGGGAGAACTGAGCAGGTTGCGGTGGGATATCGTAGTATTATGTGAAGTCCGAAGAGAGGGGGAGGACACCATAATCCTCAAATCTGGAAATCTGCTCTATTTCCGGGAGGGCGTCCAGCAGTCCTGGGGTGGTGTCGGGTTTATCGTCCACAAGTCCCTTGTCAACAACGCGGTCCAGATCGAGAGTGTTTCGGCGAGGGTAGCGTACTTTATACTCAGAATCACCAAACGGTATTGACTGAAGGTCATACAGGTAAACGCACCGACCACGGAACAGCCCGACGACAAAGTGGAGATTATGTACATATGAGGATCTTTTCAGAGCCGTATGGCTCTGAAAAGATCCGCTCTGCTGCTGCGCTCCGCCCAGCGCCCTTCCAACTAAAACCCGAAAGCTTTCAGCTCGAGTTGCAAAATAGTTTCGAATGCCTAGGAGACTGAGAAAATGTGGACGAATACAATGACAGGTTTGTAGAAATTGTCCAAACGACCAGTAGTGTGGACAATTGGGTCTAAGTTCTTTAAAACCCGTCGTTAAAAAGGAACCAAAAAGATCTCTGACCTCACCAATAAACTTATGGAAGAGAGACGAAACTTGGTTCTGCAGTCCTCTGAAGATGTTGCTCACTTAACAGACAGATCTCCAAGTATTTGACTCGCGACCTACGCCAATTTAATACAGACCGTATAAAAGAAGCGATTGAGCGTAACAAGAGCTCTAAAGTATTCGCAAGAGATCTGCCTATTAGCCAAAGCCTACAAACCAAAGTGAAGACCGAGGATGGCAGAGACATCTCGTTGGGGCCTGAGTTATTGGAAGAGGTTGAGAAGTTCTACGGACGGAAGATACGGAACGTACGGAAGTTGTACGTACACCTGTCACAAATCTAGCCGAAGACCCAAGAGCTAGATTGACCCAAAACTGGAATCACGGCTGAGCTTTTGAAAGGAATGCCGGTACTTTGTTGAAGGATTATAGACCCATCTCACTTCTGAGCAATGTCTACAAGCTGTGGGTCTAGACAAAGTGCAAATTATAATCGCAAACCAGTCGAAAAGCCCCTTTTTTGTATGGAGTTTTGACGGATTCGATTTTCGATTCGATTAAAAAGTGCGTTTTGTCTAGGGGGCTGTTTTCGAGAATCATCACGAATCGTCTCATTCATGATCTGTCAACGTCATTATTTCGTTTCGAAGAACTGAGCCCCGATTACGGTAATTTTTAACGTCAACAATCCAGACACGCTTCTCGATTCTGCGATACGATTGGTCGTTCAACAGCGTAAGTCAGCTGTTTTGACCAATCGTATTGCAGAATCAGAAACGCGTCTGGATTGTAGACGTTAAAAGTTACCGTAATCGGGGCTCAGGCCAAGGTCATAGATCATGCTGCCTCGTCTCATCTCTTTATTTTTTCTTGAGTAGAGTTTTAACCTCGTAAGCCCGGATGTGCCTCAGAAGGAACTGAAACTTTGTAGTCAGTAACGCCGAGACATTTTCGGAGGTGACTTCGAAGTATCGCCGGATGTGCCATCAGAGGAACTAAAACTTTAGCGATAAATTTAAGTTCAAAAATTCGCGCCTATCGAAAGAAAAGAGTGATAGTCTATGGCTTAAAGTATTCAAAATCAGGTATCCGAACTTATTAATATAAAAAAAACAAAATGTCACTGTCAAATTATCATTTTTCTTTGACAAGGTGG